CTTGCCTTGTTATCCCTAGACCATCCTGAAACACACATCCCTTGTTAACCCAAACCACCCTGAAACACTTGACTTGTTATCCCCAGACCATCCTGAAACACATCCTTGTTAACCCAAACCACCCCTGAAACATATGACTTGTTATCCCCAGACCATCCTGAAACACTTGACTTGTTATCCCAGACCATCCTGAAACACTTGCCTTGTTATCCCCAGACCATCCTGAAACACATCCTTTGTTATCCCCAGACCATCCTGAAACACTTGACTTGTTATCCCCAGACCATCCTGGAAACCCTTGCCTTGTTATCCCCAGACCATCCTGAAACACATCCCTTGTTATCCCCAGACCATCCTGAAACACTCTGCCTTATTATCCCCAGACCATCCTGAAACACCTCCCTTGTTAACCCAAACCACCCTGAAACACATGCCTTGTTATCCCCAGACCATCCTGAAACACTTGACTTGTTATCCCCAGACCATCCTGAAACACTTGACTTGTTATCCCCAGACCACCCTGAAACACTTGCCTTATTATCCCCAGACCATCCTGAAACACATCCCTTGTTAACCCAAACCACCCTGAAACCCTTGACTTGTTATCCCCAGACCATCCTGAAACCCTTGCCTTGTTATCCCCAGACCATCCTGAAACACATCCCTTGTTAACCCAAACCACCCTGAAACACATCCCTTGTTATCCCCAGACCATCCTGAAACCCTTGACTTGTTATCCCCAGACCATCCTGAAACACATCCCTTGTTAACCCAAACCACCCTGAAACACTTGACTTGTTATCCCCAGACCATCCTGAAACACATCCCATGTTAACCCAAACCACCCTGAAACCCTTGACTTGTTATCCCCAGACCATCCTGAAACCCTTGCCTTGTTATCCCCAGACCACCCTGAAACCCTTGCCTTTTTATCCCCAGACCATCCTGAAACCCTTGACTTGTTATCCCCAGACCATCCTGAAACACATCCCTTGTTAACCCAAACCACCCTGAAACACTTGCCTTGTTATCCCCAGACCATCCTGAAACCCTTGACTTGTTATCCCCAGACCATCCTGAAACACTTCACTTGTTCTCCCCAGACCATCCTGAAACACATCCCTTGTTAACCCAAACCACCCTGAAACACTTGCCTTGTTATCCCCAGACCACCCTGAAACACATCCCTTGTTATCCCCAGACCATCCTGAAACACATCCCTTGTTAACCCAAACCACCCTGAAACACATCCCTTGTTATCCCCAGACCATCCTGAAACACATCCCTTGTTAACCCAAACCACCCTGAAACCCTTGACTTGTTATCCCCAGACCATCCTGAAACCCTTGCCTTGTTATCCCCAGACCATCCTGAAACACATCCCTTGTTATCCCCAGACCATCCTGAAACACATCCCTTGTTATCCCCAGACCATCCTGAAACACTTGACTTGTTATCCCCAGACCATCCTGAAACACATCCCTTGTTATCCCCAGACCATCTTGAAACACTTGACTTGTTATCCCCAGACCATCCTGAAACCCTTGACTTGTTATCCCCAGACCATCCTGAAACACTTGACTTGTTATCCCAGACCATGCTGAAACACTTGCCTTGTTATCCCCAGACCATCCTGAAACACATCCCTTGTTAACCCAAACCACCCTGAAACACTTGACTTGTTATCCCCAGACCATCCTGAAACACATACCTTGTTAACCCAAACCACCCTGAAACATTTGACTTGTTATCCCCAGACCATCCTGAAACACTTGACTTGTTATCCCAGACCATCCTGAAACACTTGCCTTGTTATCCCCAGACCATCCTGAAACACATCCCTTGTTATCCCCAGACCATCCTGAAACACTTGACTTGTTATCCCCAGACCATCCTGAAACCCTTGCCTTGTTATCCCCAGACCATCCTGAAACACATCCCTTGTTATCCCCAGACCATCCTGAAACACTTGCCTTATTATCCCCAGACCATCCTGAAACACATCCCTTGTTAACCCAAACCACCCTGAAACACATCCCTTGTTATCCCCAGACCATCCTGAAACACTTGACTTGTTATCCCCAGACCATCCTGAAACACTTGACTTGTTATCCCCAGACCATCCTGAAACACTTGCCTTATTATCCCCAGACCATCCTGAATCACATCCCTTGTTAACCCAAACCACCCTGAAACCCTTGACTTGTTATCCCCAGACCATCCTGAAACACTTGACTTGTTATCCCCAGACCATCCTGAAACCCTTGACTTGTTATCCCCAGACCATCCTGAAACACTTGACTTGTTATCCCCAGACCATCCTGAAACACTTGACTTGTTATCCCAGACCATCCTGAAACACTTGCCTTGTTATCCCCAGACCATCCTGAAACACTTGACTTGTTATCCCCAGACCATCCTGAAACACTTGACTTGTTATCCCAGACCATCCTGAAACACTTGCCTTGTTATCCCCAGACCATCCTGAAACACTTGCCTTGTTATCCCCAGACCATCCTGAAACACATCCCTTGTTATCCCCAGACCATCCTGAAACACTTGCCTTATTATCCCCAGACCATCCTGAAACACATCCCTTGTTATCCCCAGACCATCCTGAAACACATCCCTTGTTATCCCCAGACCATCCTGAAACACTTGACTTGTTATCCCCAGACCATCCTGAAACCCTTGACTTGTTATCCCCAGACCACCCTGAAACACTTGCCTTATTATCCCCAGACCATCCTGAAACACATCCCTTGTTAACCCAAACCACCCTGAAACACTTGACTTGTTATCCCCAGACCATCCTGAAACACTTGCCTTGTTATCCCCAGACCATCCTGAAACACATCCCTTGTTAACCCAAACCACCCTGAAACACATCCCTTGTTATCCCCAGACCATCCTGAAACCCTTGACTTGTTATCCCCAGACCATCCTGAAACACATCCCTTGTTAACCCAAACCACCCTGAAACACTTGACTTGTTATCCCCAGACCATCCTGAAACACATCCCTTGTTAACCCAAACCACCCTGAAACCCTTGACTTGTTATCCCCAGACCATCCTGAAACCCTTGCCTTGTTATCCCCAGACCACCCTGAAACCCTTGCCTTGTTATCCCCAGACCATCCTGAAACCCTTGACTTGTTATCCCCAGACCATCCTGAAACACATCCCTTGTTAACCCAAACCACCCTGAAACACTTGCCTTGTTATCCCCAGACCATCCTGAAACACTTGACTTGTTATCCCCAGACCATCCTGAAACACTTCACTTGTTATCCCCAGACCATCCTGAAACACATCCTTGTTATCCCCAGACCACCCTGAAACACTTGCCTTGTTATCCCCAGACCATCCTGAAACACATCCCTTGTTGTCCCAGACCATCCTGAAACACATCCCTTGTTACATCCCAGACCACCCCTGAAACACTTGACTTGTTATCCCCAGACCATCCTGAAACACATCCCTTGTTAACCCAAACCACCCTGAAACACTTGACTTGTTATCCCCAGACCATCCTGAAACACTTGCCTTGTTATCCCCAGACCATCCTGAAACACATCCCTTGTTATCCCCAGACCATCCTGAAACACATCCCTTGTTATCCCCAGACCATCCTGAAACACTTGACTTGTTATCCCCAGACCATCCTGAAACACATCCCTTGTTATCCCCAGACCATCCTGAAACACTTGACTTGTTATCCCCAGACCATCCTGAAACACTTGCCTTGTTATCCCCAGACCATCCTGAAACACTTGACTTGTTATCCCAGACCATCCTGAAACACTTGCCTTGTTATCCCCAGACCATCCTGAAACACATCCCTTGTTAACCCAAACCACCCTGAAACACTTGACTTGTTATCCCCAGACCATCCTGAAACACATCCCTTGTTAACCCAAACCACCCTGAAACATTTGACTTGTTATCCCCAGACCATCCTGAAACACTTGACTTGTTATCCCAGACCATCCTGAAACACTTGCCTTGTTATCCCCAGACCATCCTGAAACACATCCCTTGTTATCCCCAGACCATCCTGAAACACTTGACTTGTTATCCCCAGACCATCCTGAAACACTTGCCTTGTTATCCCCAGACCATCCTGAAACACATGCCTTGTTATCCCCAGACCATCCTGAAACACTTGCCTTATTATCCCCAGACCATCCCTGAAACACTTCCTTGTTATCCCCAGACCATCCTGAAACACATCCCTTGTTATCCCCAGACCATCCTGAAACACTTGCCTTGTTATCCCCAGACCATCCTGAAACACTTGCCTTGTTATCCCCAGACCATCCTGAAACACTTGCCTTATTATCCCCAGACCATCCTGAAACACATCCCTTGTTATCCCCAGACCACCCTGAAACCCTTGACTTGTTATCCCCAGACCATCCTGAAACACTTGCCTTGTTATCCCCAGACCATCCTGAAACACTTGACTTGTTATCCCCAGACCATCCTGAAACACTTGACTTGTTATCCCCAGACCATCCTGAAACACTTGCCTTGTTATCCCCAGACCATCCTGAAACACTTGCCTTGTTATCCCCAGACCATCCTGAAACACTTGACTTGTTATCCCCAGACCATCCTGAAACACTTGACTTGTTATCCCCAGACCATCCTGAAACACTTGCCTTGTTATCCCCAGACCATCCTGAAACACTTGCCTTGTTATCCCCAGACCATCCTGAAACACATCCCTTGTTATCCCCAGACCATCCTGAAACACTTGCCTTATTATCCCCAGACCATCCTGAAACACATCCCTTGTTATCCCCAGACCATCCTGAAACACTTGACTTGTTATCCCCAGACCATCCTGAAACACATCCCTTGTTATCCCCAGACCATCCTGAAACACTTGCCTTGTTATCCCCAGACCATCCTGAAACACACGTGCCTTGTTATCCCCAGACCATCCTAAAACACATCCCTTGTTATCCCCAGACCAAAACACTGAAACACTTGCCTTAGCCATTGTCAATCCTCCTCTCCTCAGTGCAAGCAGCTTCTCCAAGATCCGATCACAGGCATTGGCTTGCGAGACATCATATTCATCTTTGTGAACCAGTTCGAGAGCTTCCTTGTAGTATTTCTCGGCCTTTCTGTTATCCCTGTAGTGGCAGGCCACAGCTCCTAGACCTTCCAAAGACTGCCACTGTGTCCGGATATCCCCTGAAAACATGAGGAACACCATGTTGTCAGGGTGAAGGAAACAGTGGACTGAAGAGTAACACCATGTTGTCAGGGTGAAGGAAACAGTGGACTGAAGAGTAACACCATGTTGTCAGGGTGAAGGAAACAGTGGACTGAAGAGTAACACCATGTTGTCAGGGTGAAGGAAACAGTGGACTGAAGAGTAACACCATGTTGTCAGGGTGAAGGAAACAGTGGACTGAAGAGTAACACCATGTTGTCAGGGTGAAGGAAACAGTGGACTGAAGAGTAACACCATGTTGTCAGGGTGAAGGAAACAGTGGACTGAAGAGTAACACCATGTTGTCAGGGTGAAGGAAACAGTGGACTGAAGAGTAACACCATGTTGTCAGGGTGAAGGAAACAGTGGACTGAAGAGTAACACCATGTTGTCAGGGTGAAGGAAACAGTGGACTGAAGAGTAACACCATGTTGTCAGGGTGAAGGAAACAGTGGACTGAAGAGTAACACCATGTTGTCAGGGTGAAGGAAACAGTGGACTGAAGAGTAACACCATGTTGTCAGGGTGAAGGAAACAGTGGACTGAAGAGTAACACCATGTTGTCAGGGTGAAGGAAACAGTGGACTGAAGAGTAACACCATGTTGTCAGGGTGAAGGAAACAGTGGACTGAAGAGAAACAGTGGACAGTGGACTGAAGAGTAACACCAGGCAGTTGTCAGGGTGAAGGAAACAGTGGACTGAAGAGTAACACCATGTTGTCAGGGTGAAGGAAACAGTGGACTGAAGAGTAACACCATGTTGTCAGGGTGAAGGAAACAGTGGACTGGAAGAGTAACACCATGTTGTCAGGGTGAAGGAAACAGTGGACTGAAGAGTAACACCATGTTGTCAGGGGTGAAGGAAACAGTGGACTGAAGAGTAACACCATGTTGTCAGGGTGAAGGAAACAGTGGACTGAAGAGTAACACCATGTTGTCAGGGTGAAGGAAACAGTGGACTGAAGAGTAACACCATGTTGTGTCAGTGGGTGAAGGAAACAGTGGACTGAAGAGTAACACCATGTTGTCAGGGTGAAGGAAACAGTGGACTGAAGAGTAACACCATGTTGTCAGGGTGAAGGAAACAGTGGACTGAAGAGTAACACCATGTTGTCAGGGTGAAGGAAACAGTGGACTGAAGAGTAACACCATGTTGTCAGGGTGAAGGAAACAGTGTAACACCATGTTGTCAGGGTGAAGGAAGAGTAACACCATGTTGTCAGGGTGAAACAGTGGACTGAAGGAAACAGTGGACAGTGGACTGAGAAGAGTAACACCATGTTGTCAGGGTGAAGGAAACAGTGGACTGAAGAGTAACACCATGTTGTCAGGGTGAAGGAAACAGTGGACTGAAGAGTAAGACCATGTTGTCAGGGTGAAGGAAACAGTGGACTGAAGAGTAACACCCATGTGAAGGAAACAGTGGACTGAAGGTGAAGGAAACAGTGGACTGACTGAAGAGTAACACCATGTTGTCAGGGTGAAGGAAACAGTGGACTGAAGAGTAACACCATGTTGTCAGGGTGAAGGAAACAGTGGACTGAAGAGTAACACCATGTTGTCAGGGGTGAAGGAAACAGTGGACTGAAGAGTAACAAGTGTTGTCAGGGTGAAGGAAACAGTGGACTGAAGAGTAACACCATGTTGTCAAGGGTGAAGGAAACAGTGGACTGAAGAGTAACACCATGTTGTCAAGGTGAAGGAAACAGTGGACAGAAGAGTAACATCATGTTGTCAGGGTGAAGGAAACAGTGGACTGAAGAGTAACACCATGTTGTCAGGGTGAAGGAAACAGTGGACAGAAGAGTAACATCATGTTGTCAGGGTGAAGGAAACACAGGACTGAAGAGTAACACCATGTTGTCAAGGGTGAAGGAAACAGTGGACTGAAGAGTAACATGTTGTCATGTTGTCAGGGTGAAGGAAACAGTGGACTGAAGAGTAACACCATGTTGTCAGGGTGAAGGAAACAGTGGACTGAAGAGTAACACCATGTTGTCAGGGTGAAGGAAACAGTGGACTGAAGAGTAACACCATGTTGTCAGGGTGAAGGAAACAGTGGACTGAAGAGTAACACCATGTTGTCAGGGTGAAGGAAACAGTGGACTGAAGAGTAACACCATGTTGTCGGGGTGAAGGAAACAGTGGACTGAAGAGTAACACCATGTTGTCAGGGGGAAGGAAACGGTTGACTGAAGAGTAACACCATGTTATCCTGTTTGCATGTGTTAATATCTGCGTTAATATGTATATGTAAACTAATATCTAATCCCTTGCATACAGTTGTTGAGCATTTGCTTGATGAAGAGATGAAAATTAAATCCTGACAACATTGAAGCTTACCTCCATTTTTGGCAGTGGTGAGTGCCAGTAGATATGCCTCTTGTGCCCCGCTGATGTCTCTCGTAATGCTTTCAGCATATGCCTTGTTGACATGACAGTGGCCTTGAGCCTTGTAACTCTTCTGCCTGCCTGTAAAGAAATGAACATAGATTTCAAACAATTTTCATACCAGCATAGTTCTGTGTCTCCTTCTACAAAGGCAAACACAATATTGAGTATTTTTGGTGATCAGTTCAACTGGCTTGACAGCAATGGCCAAACATACCATATTTGGAAATTGCTTCTTCATGGAACTTTAGTGCAATCTGTGCCGCTGGTCTGTTGTCCACAGACTTGAAGTTATGCACAGCACCGATGTTCTGGATGATGACAGCCTCATTCCTACGGACATTGTTGTCTGCATATGACAGCATCTGCCGAGCCTGGTTGAAGCAGTCAAGAGCCCTATCCATCTCTCGCAGCTGGGTGAACAGCAAGCCTATCTCGTTAAGGATGGGCACTGAAATACACAACGTCAACTTGTACACAAAGTTAGGTAGCAGTGATGGCAAAGCTGACACTGAAGCTTTGGTGCAGAGTTGTCTCCCCTGTTGAGTTTCTGCATTTACCCTGAGAAAGTCCATATGAGTGAAAATATACTTTGTGCCGCAGGGTATATTTTTAATCAGGGTGAACAATTTCTATAAATATTAACAACTTTTAAAAAGTTTCAGCTAACTTTGTAAAATAAATTAAACAAGTTTAACTAGGATTAGTATTGAATTTATTTTACACTAGATATTTTAAAATTGTATTTCTATTGTACTAGCCCAGTCATGTCTGTCTTTAATAGTTATTTCTGGATGGTTGTTTTTACATCATCAATTCCTTTATATTTCCCCTGTGGTTTTAAACATATTTTTATTCATGAAAATGAATTGGGATTGGTGAACAAGCGTTACTGCTTATGTTAACACTGCTCCCAGGATGTATATCTCACAATATAACAGTGACTATGGTAATAAAATATGTTAATTAAATGAAAAATAAAATGAATAAACAAATAAATAAACAAAAACACACAATCACTATTCATCTATATCTTATAAAGATCAGGATGATTTTGGTTGACCCTTACATATTCACAAATCGTGAACTTGGTGCTGGACATCGCCATGAATGAATGCTGTGGTTGAATGTTCCACTGAAAAATCCAGTTGTACTGAAGTTTCAGTTGGAATAAGTTTGTTTGCTACCTACAATTTTCTCTTTTTAACAAGACGTTAAAATATGGTACTTGTTGGTCCCTGCCTGGCGTTCGGCATTAATGGGTACAACAAGGACTGGTCGGCTCGGAGTCAGTATAATGTGTCTGAGTGGGGTATTTATTAGAGCTGTGTATCGTGGCCTAAGTGGCGAGACGATATATCCCGATACCAGTTTTATGAGGCGAGACGATATATATTGAAAGTATTGGCAAGGAGCCTGCGAGACGATTATCATCACGATACAATGGTGGCGATACGATACGTATCCCGATACTTTCTAATAACAGAACAGATATGACAGATAAAATGACTGAAACTTTAATTGTTATACAGCAGAACTTGTGTTCCATTCACACACATTTTAAAAGCTGTTCATCTGAAAAAGTTTAAGCATTTAATGCTTAAGAAAGTCAAACATATTCAGTATACCTTGATTTAAGATATATATATAAATTTGAAAGTGAAGTTTCCCTTAGGAGGTTGTGTTTTTACACCAATGCTTTCACAAACAACTCAATGTAATTTATATCAGCGTTCAGAAACACTTAAGTCTGCTTTCTAAATTTTATCTTCTCTTTGTTCTCTTTCTTAACAACGCTAAGACATCGTTCATAGTTGTAAATAAAATAGTGTTATTTGTCAAACAACTAAAACATATCTGCATATTTCAATTACGTGAAGACAAGTATTCTACAGTTCACAGAGTTTGTAAAATGTTCACACTCTGTGACTTGTACACCAACTCCTTCGTTCATGTAACAGAGACAACAGACACAAACAAATTCCTTTAAAGTTCAATTTGCTTTTAGAATTCAGAAGAATTTCAAAGAGACTCCTTTCCTATTCCTAATGCAATACTCCTTTCAACTTTAAGTAGTATTCAAATTGTATCGGGATATATCGTCTCTTGTGGCGATACATCGATGTATCATGGGCCCTTGCGATATAAATATCCTGATTTATTGCCTAAATGTGTTTTGCATCGATACTCTCGTATCGCGTAGTTGACGATGTAAATATTGGTACTATCGATGAATCGTTACACCACTGGTATTTATGCTTCACTGCAGCATGGTATCTCAGTGGGCTAGCACTATAAAACCAGCTTCAGTCTGGGCAAGTACAAGCAGCCGCACATACACATACACACGCATGCACTTCGTCATATGAGCGAAATATTCTCAAGCACGACGTTAAACCCAATTTCACCTCACCTCATTTTAACAAAGAGTGGTTCCTTTCACTCTTGAACGTACCCAAGTATTGTGAACTCACTGCTGAGCCAGCAACTTCCAGACACTTCTCTGTCGTCCTCCTGATCTCATGGTCAGTTTCTCCTTGGATTTTTACTGCACATGAAACAAAGCATCAATCCCTTAGTTCAGTCCATCAATAAACAAACACAGCAATACAGCTGGGAGACTGAAAGTCAAATTACTGTCTATATCAGAAGTGAGGTCATCTGACTAACACAGTCACAGCAATTGTCCCAAAGCGGAAAATCCCCAATTGGAACTACTCTGTGTACTCCAGTTTTCTTCATAATCCGGACCTCTCTCTGAGTCCCAGCAAAATTGTTGCTAATATATGTCAAGTATACACACAAATGGGTTCATAAAGTGATTTGTATTTCAGTGTAAAAAAACAGAGGTAAGGACCGTTAATGATTATGACTTTGTTCTGGAGAGGTAGGGGGTAGGGGGGTCATCAATTTTGTACACATGTACTAGGGGGTGGGGCAGCAAATTTGTACATGACATGCAGAGGTGGGGGGTGTAGTCAATTACATTGTACATAAATTCTAGGGGGGTCATTCACACTGTACATGGTTCTCCATAAAAATCATCATCAACCCCACCCCACCCCAGCCATAAATTATGAATGGTCCCTATTACTGCATATTTCTAGATTATTATGTTGTACTCTCACCTGTCCTCCCTAACTGTTGAACCACCAACAGACAATCATCAGCTGCAGTATATGCTTTATCCTTGTTATTGACTGCAAACAAGAGATTGGCTACATCACACAGCATCTGGATCTGCTTCAGTGGAGACTTCAGATACCCGTACACCCCGGACAACTGCTGCTTGTAGTCAATCAAGGCTTCTTCGTTGTCTTGCTCAAGGTCACACAACTGTTCCAGAATGTACTTCTTTAATGACACATTCAGATTACTCTGCAACAAGTTTAACTGATTCAGAGCCTTCTTGTACAAGAAAACAGTTTGGGGCTGCTTTCTTCCAGAATGTTGCTCCGCCAGTCCACGAATGAAAGTCAGTTCACCTTCATTCAATGTGTCATGGTAACTCGTACTTAATTTTCGTAAACACTCGAGCGCTTTTTTTCCATTTCTGTTTGCAGCATAGGCTGTGGCCAGATTGTAGAGACAGGTCTCCTTGACTGAGATGGAGTCCGTCTGTGCGGCAAGCTCATTTGCTTTCTTGAATTCCTCCAGAGCGTCTGTGGCATTGCCCTGTGTGTACAGGTTCTGTCCATTCTGAGCCAACCTGATGATGTCCATCACCACTGTGTCGCCCATCGTCATTGTTGTGTCTGTGGTGAAAGAAAAACCTTTAACAAACCGACTTTTATCAACTTCATGTTCATTCTGGTCGCAAAAAATATTTCACCCAATTTAGCGTTCTAAGTTATGTTTTGTGACTCTGAAGTATATTCGATATATACCAGTAATTGTCTAAACACATTTTCCCATTGAAGGAACCATAAAGTTTGAGATATATAATGGTTATTTGACAAGTTTTCATCCGTCGGCTCTCTCACACCTTGTAACATCCAGAACAAAAACAGCAGTATTCTGAAAGTTTCTCCTATGTGAGGGTTTCAATCAATCCTTCCAGGTGAGGTGTGTGTTCGTGCTTGTTGTTCATTGATATTTGTTATCACATCAGGTTTTACAAATTCAGTACTTCTGCATTTATTATTTATTATTATTTACTATTAATTAGATGCTGTAGAAAGGCAAATTTACTGCTTTTGAATAATTACAGTATATTTCACAAGCAAATAGAACTGTCTGCCACTAATGACACAAGTGACATGATACTCTAAATAAATTGGGATTTGTCTACATCAGTTTCATTGAGAAAGTGACACATTGTTGTCTCTGTTTCTCTTGCCGGTTGTCATGTATCCCAAGGCAGTTTCAGCAGCTGTACCCATAAGAGAGGTATGCATTATGCAATACAATATACAAACATCTTCAAGAATTAAAATATAAAAGTAAAACTGTTATAATTCAATCCAAAGGTTTTCCCTATAATTACATGGCATCATGTAATGTTAATACAGTCAGTCCTGCATTCCCACTGGTGTGACCACGTGTGTGTGTGTGGACCCATGCTAAAGACGTATTTTTGTCAGACACCCAAATATTTTTCAGAAAGGACAAGGCAACCAAATATTGTTAATATTTAAGTAGCTCCCTGCGAAAGTCACGATGCAGCTCAAGTTTGTGTCATCAGAGTCTTCAGTGACCAAACCCAAGGACAGACCACGGAATGGCTATTAGGACCTTTAAGTGCAAAGACTATTTTGCCTGGTCTGAGTCTTGCCCTCAATGCTAGATGTTTGGGGTACGGCCAAGATCAATTCAAATGTTTCACATCATTATGTGGAACTTTGTGCAGGGCATACTGTCTGGTGGTTTTCAATATAAATCAAATATGCTTTAATTGGATTAAAATATGTTTTCATAAATTTGCTCATAGCCTCAAAAATTGTTTTAAAAATATACAATATATCAAGTACCTGTAATATAATTTCAAAGTTTTCTTGGCCCAATATCAAACTATCCAAAGGTACTCTACAAATAGGCCTACCATACAAACGGTGAACAAATCATCAAAACTGATCTCATATACACCAAAACAGAACAAAAACCACCAAAACTGCAACAATATCCTCTAAAACCGAAACAATACGTCTGTAATGGAAGACTAATCGTTTGAAATGGAAACAAAACTCGCGTATCAGCTACAAGAGCGCGCGAGAATGGTCGCCGAGCCGTACAAAGCGGCATTCATAGCATCCCAACACGGCAGTCATAGCATCCCGAAACGGCATACAAATCGTCAAAGATGGCGGCGAGGGGAGACGAATAGGCTTTGGTACATAATTGTTTTTCGTCACTATGAGTCTAATCTTGAAAATTTGATATTGGGATGTAGTGCATAAACCCCCTATTGTAGTAAGCTTCAAACCTATGTCAATACTTCTCAGTGTCAGGCTTGCAATTCTACACAATGTGGTCCCTCGTTCGACCGAATAGGATTTCTTGTCAACATGCCGTGGTCCTGTTTCTCTTCAGTTTTGTAAATAAAGTGTTCATAGTGTCACATTCAACATTACTATATTTTAGTGATTTAAAAAGTTTACAAAAACTTTGTTCATTCTTAGTGCAGCTGATACGCAAGTTTTGTTTCCATTTCAAACGATTAGTCTTCCATTACAGATGTATTGTTTCGGTTTTAGAGGATATTGTTGCAGTTTTGGTGGTTTTGTTCTGTTTTGGTGTATATGAGTTCAGTTTTGATGATTTGTTCACCGTTTGTATGGTAGGCCTGTACAAAGAATGTCTCCATTTCATGGGGCTGCTATTGAGCTGCTATTGAGCTGCTATTTCAAGCATAGAGGTCAAAGTGAATTCAGCTTGAAGAATGTATTGTTGGCTTTGTGATAGTATTGCTGGATTTCAGGCAGCGTGGGGATATTGACGAATACAGACATTCATCCAACATTGGGGTTACATTTCTTTGCCAACTTTGAACCAACATAAGCCCAAGCGTGTTTTGCTTAGAATGTTGACCCAATGTTGCTTCTGTTGTAGTCCTCAATACCTGCCAGCTGGGTGAGCATTAGACCATCAGGCTGATCATTCAGAGGTAAAGATATTGTCCATTGCTGTTAAACATTAATCACTGTTACCATTAGTTTAGACACAGAATGATTCCATAGTTTCAGAGTGAATTTCTTAATTGTGTTCACTAAGATAGCTTGTAATGGAGATATATATTCAAACTCATTCATTCCTACACTGACTTTTTCCAAGACTGAGTTCAAGACTTACAGATCTGAAACAAAGCCTCTGTATGTATTCATGCTATGGTTCATTACCAAGGACATCCCAGTGAATGCAGGAGCAGTCTGTCAGTGTTTACAGCACTGTAATAAAGGTGAGGTGAAATTTCTTCCCCACATTAAACTGATGCTGACAAACATACTCTAGAAACACCAACATCACAAGATGAAATTCCTTGTGTCATAATGTACCTAAAAAGTGGAAAAGCTCCTAACCATATTTTGGTGGAAACGATAAATTGTTCCATATTTGAGATGATGCCTTTCTTCATAAATGTTTCAATTAAAGAAGTTTGACAGTGGTATATTAGCCAGTAGCTGGTCTTGTTTGGTAATCATCCCAATATATAAGAAAGGAGTTTTAACAACTCTGACAACTAAAGGGGAATGTCCTTAATGAGTATTCCTGGGAAGATCTCACCTCATTACTTAAAACCAAATAATAATTATGAATACGCTAAGTAAATGAATGATACGATTTCCAAAACTCAAGCTGGTTTCAGAAAATAAATGCTTGACGTCAAACCATATATTCACATTATATGGGTTACACCCAATCTGTGCAACTGCTTTTGCACGCATGTGAAAGAATACCATATTGTATCACTGTATCAGTACACTATTATTAAACTCCACATTATAGGAGATACATGGCATTCATTTCCATTTCAAGGACATACACAGGACAGACATTGTGTCATGTATAATGCTGGGCCCTGTTGCACTACACAGCCTGACTGCAATAAGGTAGGAAACTCCCATACTTTAACATAGGTGTAAGATCACTCACTAGTGTTGGGAATCGGAAACCAAATCCACTATCGATTATCGGAGGATTGTGGATTATAATTGAAATATATACAAATTTAATGAAATCACCAATTTAAAGGGTTTTTCCCCAGGTTGTTTCTAATAAATGTTTCTTACAACTAATACTGTCATGCAATGAAGTGCATGCATGCAAGAAAGATACTGGAATTGTAATTAAACAATAAAAGTAGTTAGAAAAGACATGCACTGTTGAGCGCATGTCTGTACGTGAATATTTGTCAAATTTTATCGCTAGTTTACTTCATTCAAGTGTGTTAAACTAAAACAACAAAATTCCAATTAATTGAAAATATGTTTTTTTTATAAACGATAATCATTCTTAATCCTTCTTTCGATCGATTTTCAATTATTTTCGATCATCGGAACACCACTATCACTCACACACACAGCAGTGCTAAGATCACATTGTGGAATGGGGACAATATCCTCAAGGAAACAATAATTATGCAGATGTATTAAACAGATAACATGCGCTAACCATAAACGATCTTCAAGTATACATCACTTTCATCCAGTTGGTTTCATTAATCTTTCACTTGTGAATCTATGCAGACCTACATCTGATAAATATGAAAACTGAAATAGGAATACATAGCAACCACGTACAGAAAGTCAATACATTATGTCATATTCCTCCACGATCAGCTATGGCACTGACAATCGAACAGTGTTTACATACATTAAGGGTAACTGATCGGTACTCGGTTACATAATCAATCACTGGCACATCCATGAAGCTCACTGGTCATGATTGTAGCTGATTGTCTAACAGGATAACCGTGGACTGATCGTACACAAGGAGGAGAAGCCAGTGTTTACAACACTATCTCCAACAAAACGTACCAAGACGTTAAAATCAGTTGATGTTCCATTTTTTTTTAATGTCACTAAAAACAAACCCGATTCACAAGACGACGCTAATCAGTACGTTTATGTAATAAATGCAAATTATTCTGCTGCAGTAAGATGAAATATTACCCTAGAGTTGATCTCTGGACACGCTTGCATACCTCATATAAGTTACAAAATTAACTGTGTGAAAATGTACACATGAACCCCAATCATCAGGGGAGCTCTGAGATAAGGCTATGTCGATACGTTTGTATTGACCAGACATCTGAGGGAACCAAAACATTAAACACTACATGTGTCAAAAGGTACACGTAATCTTAAGTCATCTAAAACATAAACATACCTTCGTCATTAACATGCAACCGTCTTAACCCTCATTTGCGGTCCACAAGGCACGAGCACCTGCTTTGTTTTGTGCTGTTATGGCAACGTCCGCGTTTAGAGTTACTTCCCTTCCATTTTCCGACAACACACTGTTTCAGGGCGTGTGACCATTTCGTTACTTTCGTTCACTACACATTTGTAATTGGACAGCTTGGTGGCATCTTGTTAGTTATCACCGGACTCCATCTGAAAAGTCTTAAACGATTAAACCACACGAAACAGAAGTAAATGGACAAATTATAGGCTTGTTTTTAAAGGACATGTTGCTGAAACACCTAAAATGTCAACATGACTGCATTATTTACTGAAGCGAACGTAAAATCGCTAATTTGCACGGAGCGTATGAAGAGGATACTAATTCCGAGAGATTCTTGCATGAGAAATAATATTCCAATTTCCAGATTCCAGTGGAATTATTTCCACAGATAGTTTGTGCAATAATTTTCATATGAATATTCTTTTCTCTGGAAACTATTGAACAGAACTCACCGCAGAAGAGTTTGTTTGCTTTGTAACACTGCATTCAACAACATCCTGGTAAGCTATACGACAGCTACCCGGAAAAAAACACTGTTGCCAAGATGACCAGTGATTGAGCAAAACGATCTCAGACAAGAGTTTCACTGACACACAAACAACCGTCACCGCACCTGACCGTCCGATCCTCTTGGTCGCCTTAGCTTACTTGCCAGCATTGAGTGAGTGAGTTTAGTTTTACGTCGCATTCAGCAATATTTCAGCTATATGGCGGCGGTCTGTAACTAATCGAGTCTGGACCAGACAATCCAGTGATCATCATCATGAACATAGATCTACGCAATTGGGATACGATGACATGTATCAACCAAATTCAGCGAGCCTGACCACCCGATCCCGTTATAGTCGCCTCTTACAACAAGCATGAATTGCTGAAGACCAATTCTAACCCGGATCTTCACGGGTTCCTGCCAGCAATGGATAGTGAGACCTGTTATTTTCAGGCAACGTGTATTCCATGTTTTTCACATTTCTTGAGGATAGTCTGTAATGGTCTACGGAGTGGGGACTAAAAGGCTAGCACAACCCAGGGGGAATGTTTACGCCAATAATTAGAAGTCGTTAAATGATTCGTTGAAACAGTTTCCTGTGTCAGTGATTGAGAAAGGTATTTACCGTATAATACGTCCTAAATGTTTGTCTTTAACTTTCCTTTCTGATAATGAGTGAGTGAGGTTTTACAACACAGGAATTCATGGGATTAGCTATGCAAGTTAACAGTCTGGAAATAGGAACGTTATATGTGTGGCAGGTTGCTTCAGCTGGCTTTTGTTATACTTGCGACTGGATGAGGAGTATTGTTTTACACGGGTTGCAGTAATAATCAACAACTATCAAGAAAGCGGTCTGACTTGAGCAGGACAAACGTTGTCAGAGAAGATTATATAGCTGAGGTTTAACGAAGTTTTATAGTGATACCTTTGAAAAATGACTAAAGACCACATTGAAGTTAATGTTTTGCAATGGCAGAGTCAAGGTGGGGTTCAGGGGGTTAACAACATAACAACAGGGTTAGAAAATACAAACCCCTAAACCCCAGCCCCCACCCCACACACTCACCTTTAAAACATTCTGGGTCCGCCTATGTATAGGGGTACCACCATACACATCACGATACACGTAAAGTGATACAATCTGTAAGTATTGAACAGGAATACAAGTTTAACGTAGGCGAAATAAGCAATAAAGGAACCTCAGTTAGACGTCCGCGTAAAGATGCTGCAACACTAAAATATATGTACAATGTCAGTATATCGGTAGGTCGACCTTTATAGCCCTACCAACATGTATCCGCGAATAGCGCCCTTCACTGCAGACATCCTGTTCGAGATTTTGTTTTCTTGCGAGTCCTGTGCATCAATTGACATAAATCAATGACACTAAATCAACCAACAAATAAAGACTGAAATATATCAGTACACATTTATTGAGTGACCCCTACAGGGCCTTGGTTTCACGATGAATAGACAGGCAAAGAGTCATATGGGCACGATGTGCAGAAGGGGCTAGAAAACCCGTCTTTTGATATATTACGGCAGAATCGTGAAATTATGCCAAATGCCAGATTCATGGGCATACTTTAAAATGGCCCTTGGTCAAGTTGCAAACATCTTTGGTGTTAGCCAAAGTGTGATCAGCAGCCACGGGATCTGTGCCAGACGTCTGGATCGGCCAACAAGCGACATGCCGGTGGTCGACAGCGTTCCACCAAGAAGAGGGAGGACATGTTTCTCTTGACAGCAACAAGGCGTCATCACTTCCTAAATGCCACCATATTCAGAAAAAAAACCTTCAGAAATTAACCTCGGAAAGCCAGTGGCGTTAACATTTCCAGTCAGTGCGCGAGGCTGGTCTCCGGTAACAGACGGCGTGCATTCGCATACTTCTGACCCGATATCACATGCTCGCATGTTTATACTGTCCTTTGGATAGACCACGCCTAGACATCAGTGCTTGACACCAGTGTTTTTCACATGTTGAAACGAGATACTGTCCAGATTTCACAGATCGTGAATCTATACGCGAGACCTCATGCTGGTGCAAGTGAATCGGCCTTCATACCCATGGAGGATAACATATTGCCCGATGGTTCCAAGATCGTTGATGACTGCTAAGAGTTAAAGTGAGTGAGTGAGTTTAGTTTTACGCCGCACTCAGCAATATTCCAGCTATATGGCGGCTAAGAGTTAAAGTCCTTTCAAGTTTGTCATATGTTGTTTGTTGGTAGTGTGCCACATGGCAATGAATGTAAGTTCAATAAACATGTCTTCATGCACTGTTTTCCTTGGCCATGCACACAATTCAATTTTGCAGCATTATCACACCCTGTCCTTTTTATGCTGACATGGCGTTAATGAACCAAAGGGAAGTGTTAACCATAGCTGCTTGTCTGATAATCGTGAGATGTTTGATAATCTGGAAGCACTGATTATTTCATCCCTAAAGTCTATGTTTCACGGTTACATGCTGTGAAGTTGAATCTTATTCTTAATCCAAGGGCTGTAAGCCTACAAAATTGCTGTGTTTGCCTTAGTTTGTCCAAACAGTCTATGTTACCTCAGCAAACAAATGCTGGCGTTAGAAAGTGTTTCATGCTGCAGTCTAATGTAATCCCCACGTGGCAGACACCTGGTCTCAGTCAAGGTCAATATTGATGCATGCTGCAGCTTTAGTATTACTGTCATATCACAGCAATCTCCACTGGAGTCAAACAGACCATCCTGAGCTAGTCGCCACTACACCAGGGCTGAATGACACGAGCTGCCAGACAAACCTCGCATCTCCCCGATCACAATGTCAGCTGGTCAATACCAACTATGGAATCAGGGCCTTGGCATTTAGAAGTGATGCACACAAAGGGTGAAAATGTATGGCTGTTGACTTCTGTAATATGAAGGACATGACGTTTCGGAGTATGTTCTTACTGCTCCATATATTTTCACCCTTTAACTATTGAATTACTCAAAATCTGTGGCAGTTACAAGAAAGATTATCACGCCCAATAACCCATACCTGTCATTAAATGCAACAACTGAATAGATTGTGTAGCCAGGCTCAGTGAACTGGTTCATCCCATGTTGTCTCCAAACTGCATGGAGTGAGTGAGTGAGTTGGGTTTCACAACGCTTTTAGCAAAGTTCTAGCAATAGCATGTGGGGAACAACAGAAATTGGCTTCACACATTGTACCCGTATGTACAGTATTGAGCAACAAGTGAATACGTCATAACAAACGTTGTCCAAATACACACGTAAATGTTTGTCCTGATATAAATTTATTTCATATTTACAAATTCTTACAAAATGATTACATTGACACATGTCAACAATAAATATATTTACAAAACTATTTACAGAGATTCCTACAGTTTAATATAAGATTCAAACTTTACAAACATCTAAGATATAAAACATTCTAGATGAAAGCTAACAGTCAAGGCATCATTGTAATGTCTATGCCTGTAAATATTATATTTACACAGGTACACAGGTCAGCAACAATAATGGCACTGCTATGACCTACCAAGCACTTAGTTCCTCTCCACCTTACATCACAGGTATATCTTCCTTCGGGAAAATCAAGCTCATTGTGATATTTTATTTTATCAAATGAGCAGTAGTTTGTCTGTTGCCCATATTAAACAGAATTGCATACATCAAAATATGTACTGCTCCAAAGACATTACAAAACACCTGATGTCATCATATGACTATAGTTAATTTGTCATGTCAATGCTAGTTCTCAGATACACCTTGCTTCACTGTCTTACATGGTTGTCTTCAAAAAACATCGAAAACAGAAGACTTCCCCAACAATGCCAGGATATTGATAAATGCATAGGAATATCATTTATTTGGCAGTAAATTCTAAAATAACACCAAACAGTTTACAAACTGAGCATGTTATATGTACATTGTATCAGGTCACTGATTCCATGGAAGCATTTACTCTGCATTTCTATTGGACAAACAGCTGTCGATGGTTGCAGGATACTGTGTTTCATCCTCCTCACAGCTGGAGATGGTGACTCTCAGTCAAACCCTGGTGATTCAGATGGTAGTTTCCAGTGTCGACTTGCAGAATTCCAGCATAACAAATGACTGTTACTGAGTCATGAATTTGAATGAATGATGACATTCCTGACTATAATCATCTGGATCCTGGCATAGAAATTTGCACTAGACTACCAGAGTCACTGAAGGTATATGTAGCCTTAAGAGCTGGTTGAACCTGCAGCAATATGCAGGATGTTCCTATATGACATCATCATTTTGGCATGTATATTTTGATGGCTAATGTCTACTCCTGATAACAAATCCGTGTTATTCAGTGCTATGTGTCAAAGGTTGGATCCTGAGGTTTCCTCTAGACCAGTAGAGTTTCATAATTTCAATAACTTCAGTTTCCAAGACCAAATTTGCAAGCATTGGCATTAAAAGGTGATATTCTGCCAAATTAAAAACATGAGATTGGACACAATGGATTAACATGGGAAGGTTGATATAATTTATCATAAATGTGGATTATTTTACTTGGAGATAATTTTGTGTGGGTTTAGCAGGAGAAAATCAATGTTAAAACTATTCAAAGTTCTTGATGTATACTATCTTAACCGTAACCAATAATCATCTGTCAGGGAAGGGTTTGTTCCGTGTTATAACTGTTGACAGTGAAATATACTATGTGCAACATATTTGACAGGCAGCTCTTTGGTCTTGTTGGTCAGTCTGTGCTAAATGTCTCTCAGTCTATATCTTTAACACATTTATTGCCTAAGAACATTTCTACTGCTCACTCAGCATGCTTTGATGTGGTCATGTACGAGTTCTGTATAACTAATATTTCCAACATACTGGGGAGTTAAGATGATATGACAATAGACCTATGGTATACACTACAGAGCCCATGATGCTATAGGACCACTCTAGCCAATGTCCTGTCTCACAAGCCCCACAAGAGGCTGATCACAGAAAGGTGATATAGTTATGTAACACTTGATACTGAAAATATACCCATCAGCATGCTGTCAGTGTGTTAGCTATTTTTATGTGCAATGGCCTCTCTAATCTGTCTGTCCAGCTCTGCAATGATCTTGTCTTGAGTGGTGTAGGCTCCAGTCTTCAGTAGGGTATCCCTCTCCTCTATCAGGCGGGTTATGTGTTCATCCAGACTTGAGTCCAGATCATGGGACTTGTGACCGTTTATCTGTTTGGGACTATTAAGTTGCATGTTGTTGGAGTCGGTTGATGACTTCAGGCGTTCTTCTTCTATCAACTTTAATCTGAAATGCATTGTACTTCATGACAAATACTGAAAAACAGGGTCTTGATGTAACATTTCAACATTCACTAAAACACTGGAAATATATACAACAATATTCAGACATATGAAAGAAATAATACTGCTCAGTTAATAAGGGCATAGATTGCAGGGACCTACAGCTTGATTAGTGATAATGGTTCAAATGTACAGGATAAAAGCTATCTTTGAGATCTTGAATGAAAATGTAAGTGATGATTGTCAGTGTCAAGGGCTGTAACAGCTCAGTGAAAATAACTGATCGTTAATTATGGTAAAACGTTGATGTTTGGGAGACTGTAGATGTAACATAAACTTGTAACTAAATTTGACATGTTAGGTCAATTTTACACTTTTGTAGGGAAATCTCTTATCTCTCTGTCATCATAAGCACTCTTACTTGTTAAGCTGGTTCTTGATGTCCTCAAGCTCCTTCTTCTCAGCCTGCACGACATCCTTCTCCTCGGCAGCGAGGTAGCGCAGCCTCATGTGCTCTAGTTCCTGCTGCTGCTTCTTGAGCTGCGCCCGGGCCACATCCTGCTCCCGCTGCTTCAGACGAGCCAACTCCTTCAGGGCACGGCCCCACTGCTGCTTGTAGTGCACCTTCGACTTGCCTACTGCATCTAGCTTCCGTTCCAGCTCAACCTGACCAAATAACAGTGTTTTTTTATACAAACAGAATAGGGAATGGACAACACAACACTGTCTGTCCATCTCGACAGATCTTAAAGCTATCTTAGCAGTATGACTGTCAGAAGTACAGTATGACTGTAGCACATAAAGTGTTTTAGTTACTCTTGGCACAAAATCCCTGATGACGTTTCTTCACATACAAAAGAACACCACCAGACATCAGGCTTAAAGCATAGCAAAATCAGCACCCACATAAAGTTTCTACCCATCTTAACAATCTGAGTGGATGTGGACCTGGGTCATGTTAGAAAAGAGGAGTAACTATGACACAGCTGCCATAAGGTGATACGTCCCAAGCCACCCAATACAGCAGTAGGGATCCTATTAAAAATGCTAAAACTACAATAAAATGTAGTCAGTAATGGCCCACAGTAAATGGAATGATAGAGTTAAGTTGTACAGTATTTCAATCCTACAACCGAATCTTGTCAAAAGAAGAAATGGTGTTGACCAATTAGGAATGACATTGGCCTGAGACACCCTAGTTAACTTGTTCACCAATCCTTCAACTACTATAACGGAGCGCAACATAAATGTATGGAAAGGCATGTAACAGTAGAATAGACTCTGAATAACAGTTTCAATAATATAAGAGCATTTCAGTTTCATGAGGGAGGGAATGAACGTAAGAGTATATTCCCAAGTCTAGTGCAACAACAGGTAAGAAAACTGAGCTCCATCATAATGAGCTTACCTGAGATTAGACCCAGGACCACTGAGTTCATGATACTGTGTTACATAATTCTACACCCGGTCACCCATGCCCATCCCAGCAAGGAAGATATATACCTTATCACAAGAATCCCTGGAATCAAAACTCACCTTTTCTAACGTGAGCAAGTTGATCTCTGACTGAAGCCGCACTTCAGGTTTTGTGTTCTGCTGTTCCTTGTATATAGAAAATTCCTTCTCTAATGCCTTGAGCTTCTTATCTCCATCAGCAACCTTAAAGAATATAACCAAGCCATATAGCAGTGAATTAACCTGAAAACAAAGTGATATGTTTGCCTATTTTTGTACACATATGGTGTTGCAGAAAAGGCTGATACCATACCACTAGTTTGTCTGGTCCAGACTCAATCATTTACTGTAATTTAAACAACAAATTGTCCATTATAACAACACTTCAGATGTATGAAGCTGAGTCCTCACTGTTATGTTACCTGACAATCGAAATATACAACCAAACATTTCTAACTACTACACTTGTTATGATTTACTTGAATATTTTGTGAATCGAAAGATATCCTTTCATGATTTCAGTTCATTAATTGTGGTTACTAGAATCGAATATTTACAAATACTTTTAAGAGAGTGTTTTTACTTGAAACTAGTTTGTTATTTATCTAAGTGAGATATGTAAAATCAAAGATACACAAGCCATGCAGTGGCATATTTTGAGCTATTCTGCAAGGCCTTTTACAGCATTAAGCTATAAGAGCATTATTTATAATATATTGCTCTTTTTGCTTTATAGAAAATTTCATTTAAATGTTTCAATCAAGCAATTATATGACATGCTTGTTATTCTAATTTCTTGATCTTAAACATAAAGTATTCTTGATTCAATATCCATCTTTGTTACTATATATATTCATAAAACATATCGTATTTGTGTCATAGTGCAGTCCTACTACTTACCTCTTGTTTGTATCTGGACACTAACTCTTCTAATTCATTCACTTTCATCCTGAAAGGTTAAAACAAAAACATGTAAAAGATGTTGAAGAAGAGAAAGGAAACATGAAATGGCAATGGATTAATACATTGATGCAGGTATGTGGGAGAGAGTTGGGTGTAAAACTGCTATGAACAAAGCCTCTGTTATCAAGTGTACAACATCTGTTACATAATCAATACCCAGTATCTCCGTTTGGGAAGTGAGGTCACAATCTTCATGCAGGTGACTTCCTACTTTTTTATACCCATGAAGGTCCGGGTTAGAATATTGATCTTCAGTAACCCATGCTTGTCATTAGAGGTGACTAATGGGATCCTGTGGTCAGGCTTGCTGACTTGGTTGTCACATGTCATCGGTTCCAAATTGCGTAGATCGAAGCTAATGCTGTTGATCACTGGTTTGTCTGGTCCAGACTCGATTATTTACAGACCACCGCCATATAGCTGGAATACTGCTGAGTGCCGCGTAAAACTAAACTCACTCACTCACTCACTCCTACTATATGTCAATTCGTTATGTGTCTAGTGGATGGCCATTTTCAGGGCTGTGTTACACAAATCTGTCACAAATCGTAGCTGCAGTAGAGAAGGGTTCTTGGTTTCTATAATGACAGAACTGTGTTTTGTTTCTTAACACCTTACTCAGCAATAAAATGTAAATAATAGAGTCTGGACCAGACAATCCAGTGATCAACATCATGAGCATTGATCTACTCAGTGTCAACCAGGTCAGTGAGTCTGACCACCAAATCCCATTAGTGGCCTCTTACCACAAGCATGGGTTGCTGAGGACCAATTCAAACTCAGACCTTCAGGGGTCAGAATTGAGATACAGTCCAAAGGATGCTAGGAACAGTATGCAATTAGTGCCACAGTGTGTCATCTGGTATTGATGAAAACTGCAGCACTACCCAATATGCAGTGCAGTATTATATTCACCTCTCTAGTTCTACTTTGTGGTCACAGTCCTCCTTGTGTCGATGTGAGGCTTCCTTCATCTCTTGCAGTTTCCTCTCATGGTCATGCTGAAGGTCTGTCCGGAGACGCAAAACCTGATGAGGAGACGAGTATCACAGTATTTAACCAACCACCAAAACCGTCCAATAGATATCAGCTGATCAATGAAGTGGACAATATTTTTTTAAATATTTTCAGAAGTCGCACATTGCCCTAATACTGGCCATGGAGCTATATGCATACAATCTCTGATGTCATGAACTTGACATGCAGAACTTAGGGACCATTCATAATTTATGGCTAGGGGGCGTGATGATGATTTTAAAGGGGAGGGAGGGGGTGGGGTGTCACCCATTTTGTTCTGGGGAGCTAGGGGGTCAGCAATTCTGTACACACGCATGGGGGTCAGAAATTTTGTACATAAAACTATGTTTAAAATTATACTTAGAAATCATGGGAAGGGGAGGGGGGATCACTTATTTTGTACATAAATTTTAAGGGGGGTCATTCACATTGTACATGCTTCTCCATAAAAATCATCATCAACCCCCCCCTAGCCATAAATTATGAACAGTCCCTTAGTGGCCAATTTCAGGGTAAGATATTCCATGTATCTCCTGTATACACTGGTAATGGTGGCAGACCCTAAGACATTTATACCATGTATCCTAGCTAAATTGTTTGTTCAATTATAAATTCTCTTTGTCAAATAAATCTGACTCAGCAAGCCAATACTTACAATATCTTATCATACTGAATGAACAATAGTATCAATTCTCTCCTCATGTATATTCACTCAATAAGGCAATTATCACAAAGTCTGCATTTTATCTTTTGTATGTGTGACCACACCCACCTCCTGTTCATTGACAGCCAGCTGCTTGTCTCTCTTCTCCAGACTGGCCAGGGCCTTCTTCAGCTGCTCCTCATGCAGGGTGTATTCCGCCACCTGGAGACACACAGTTGTGACAGATGTCAGCTATCCAGTCAAGATACAACCCCTTCACTCCCTACTGGCCACCTTGTGACAGATGTCAGCTATCAAGTCAAGATACACCCCCTTCACTCCCTACTGGCCATCTTGTGACAGATGTCAGTTATCAAGTCAAGATACACCCTCTTCACTCCCTACTGGCCACCTTGTGACAGATGTCAGTTATCAAGTCAAGATACACCCTCTTCCCTCCCTACTGGCCATCTTGTGACAGATGTCAGTTATCCAGTCAAGATACACCCCCTTCACTCCCTACTGGCCACCTTGTGACAGATGTCAGTTATCCAGTCAAGATACACCCTCTTCCCTCCCTACTGGCCACCTTGTGACAGATGTCAGTTATCCAGTCAAGATACACCCTCTTCCTCCCTACTGGCCATCTTGTGACAGATGTCAGTTATCCAGTCAAGATTCACCCCTTCACTCCCTACTGGCCACCTTGTGACAGATGTCAGTTATCCAGTCAAGATACACCTCTCTTCACTCCCTACTGGCCACCTTGTGACAGATGTCAGTTATCCAGTCAAGATACACCCTCTTCCCTCCCTACTGGCCATCTTGTGACAGATGTCAGTTATCCAGTCAAGATTCACCCCCTTCACTCCCTACTGACCACCTTGTGACAGATGTCAGTTATCCAGTCAAGATACACCCTCTTCCCTCCCTACTGGCCACCTTGTGACAGATGTCAGTTATCCAGTCAAGATACACCCTCTTCCCTCCCTACTGGCCACCTTGGGACAGATGTCAGTTATCCAGTCAAGATACACCCTCTTCACTCCCTACTGGCCACCTTGTGACAGATGTCAGTTATCCAGTCAAGATACACCCTCTTCACTCCCTACTGGCCATCTTGTGACAGATGTCAGTTATCCAGTCAAGATACACCCTCTTCCCTCCCTACTGGCCATCTTGTGACAGATGTCAGTTATCCAGTCAAGATACACCCTCTTCCCTCCCTACTGGCCACCTTGGGACAGATGTCAGTTATCCAGTCAAGATACACCCTCTTCCCTCCCTACTGGCCACCTTGGGACAGATGTCAGTTATCCAGTCAAGATACACCCTCTTCCCTCCCTACTGGCCACCTTGTGACAGATGTCAGTTATCCAGTCAAGATACACCCTCTTCCCTCCCTACTGGCCACCTTGTGACAGATGTCAGTTATCCAGTCAAGATACACCCTCTTCACTCCCTACTGGCCACCTTGTGACAGATGTCAGTTATCCAGTCAAGATACACCCTCTTCCCTCCCTACTGGCCACCTTGGGACAGATGTCAGTTATCCAGTCAAGATACACCCCTCTTCCCTCCCTACTGGCCACCTTGTGACAGATGTCAGTTATCCAGTCAAGATACACCCTCTTCCTCCCTACTGGCCACCTTGTGACAGATGTCAGCTATCCAGTCAAGATACACCCTCTTCACTCCCTACTGGCCACCCTTGTGACAGATGTCAGCTATCCAGTCAAGATACACCCTCTTCACTCCCTACTGGCCATCTTGTGACAGATGTCAGCTATCCAGTCAAGATACACCCTCTTCACTCCCTACTGGCCACCTTGTGACAGATGTCAGCTATCCAGTCAAGATACACCCTCTTCACTCCCTACTGGCCACCTTGTGACAGATGTCAGCTATCCAGTCAAGATACACCCCATTCACACCCCTACTGGCCACCTTGTGACAGATGTCAGTTATCCAGTCAAGATACACCCTCTTCCCTCCCTACTGGCCACCTTGTGACAGATGTCAGTTATCCAGTCAAGATACACCCCATTCACTCCCTACTGGCCACCTTGTGACAGATGTCAGTTATCCAGTCAAGATACACCCTCTTCCCTCCCTACTGGCCACCTTGTGACAGATGTCAGTTATCCAGTCAAGATACACCCTCTTCACTCCCTACTGGCCACCTTGTGACAGATGTCAGTTATCCAGTCAAGATACACCCTCTTCCTCCCTACTGGCCATCTTGTGACAGATGTCAGTTATCCAGTCAAGATACACCCTCTTCCTCCCTACTGGCCATCTTGTGACAGATGTCAGCTATCCAGTCAAGATACACCCTCTTCACTCCCTACTGGCCACCTTGTGACAGATGTCAGTTATCCAGTCAAGATACACCCTCTTCCCTCCCTACTGGCCACCTTGTGACAGATGTCAGTTATCCAGTCAAGATACACCCTCTTCCCTCCCTACTGGCCACCTTGTGACAGATGTCAGTTATCCAGTCAAGATACACCCTCTTCACTCCCTACTGGCCACCTTGTGACAGATGTCAGTTATCCAGTCAAGATACACCCTCTTCACTCCCTACTGGCCATCTTGTGACAGATGTCAGTTATCCAGTCAAGATACACCCTCTTCCTCCCTACTGGCCATCTTGTGACAGATGTCAGCTATCCAGTCAAGATACACCCTCTTCCCTCCCTACTGGCCATCTCTTGGACAGATGTCAGTTATCCAGTCAAGATACACCCTCTTCCCTCCCTACTGGCCACCTTGGGACAGATGTCAGTTATCCAGTCAAGATACACCCTCTTCCCTCCCCTACTGGCCACCTTGTGACAGATGTCAGTTATCCAGTCAAGATACACCCTCTTCCCTCCCTACTGGCCACCTTGTGACAGATGCCAGTTATCCAGTCAAGATACACCCTCTTCACTCCCTACTGGCCACCTTGTGACAGATGTCAGTTATCCAGTCAAGATACACCCTCTTCACTCCCTACTGGCCACCTTGTGACAGATGTCAGTTATCCAGTCAAGATACACCCTCTTCCCTCCCTACTGGCCACCTTGGGACAGATGTCAGTTATCCAGTCAAGATACACCCTCTTCACTCCCTACTGGCCACCTTGTGACAGATGTCAGCTATCCAGTCAAGATACACCCTCTTCACTCCCTACTGGCCACCTTGTGACAGATGTCAGCTATCCAGTCAAGATACACCCCATTCACTCCCTACTGGTCATCTTGTGACAGATGTCAGCTATCCAGTCAAGATACACCCCATTCACTCCCTACTGGCCACCTTGTGACAGATGTCAGCTATCCAGTCAAGATACACCCTCTTCACTCCCTACTGACCACCTTGTGACAGATGTCAGCTATCCAGTCAAGATACACCCCATTCACTCCCTACTGGCCACCTTGTGACAGATGCCAGTTATCCAGTCAAGATACACCCTCTTCCCTCCCTACTGGCCATCTTGTGACAGATGTCAGCTATCCAGTCAAGATACACCCTCTTCACTCCCTACTGGCCATCTTGTGACAGATGTCAGTTATCCAGTCAAGATACACCCTCTTCCTCTCCTACTGGCCATCTTGGGACAGATGTCAGTTATCCAGTCAAGATACACCCTCTTCACTCCCTACTGGCCACCTTGTGACAGATGTCAGTTATCCAGTCAAGATACACCCTCTTCCCTCCCTACTGGCCACCTTGGGACAGATGTCAGTTATCCAGTCAAGATACACCCTCTTCCCTCCCTACTGGCCACCTTGTGACAGATGTCAGTTATCCAGTCAAGATACACCCTCTTCCATCCCTACTGGCCACCTTGTGACAGATGTCAGCTATCCAGTCAAGATACACCCTCTTCACTCCCTACTGGCCACCTTGTGACAGATGTCAGCTATCCAGTCAAGATACACCCTCTTCACTCCCTACTGACCACCTTGTGACAGATGTCAGCTATCCAGTCAAGATACACCCTCTTCACTCCCTACTGGCCACCTTGTGACAGATGTCAGCTATCCAGTCAAGATACACACTCTACACTCCCTACTGGCCATCTTGTGACAGAACTCAGTTATCCAGTCAAGATACACCCCCTTCACTCCCATAACAGCCACTGGTTTGCAGCTGCAGAATATCTGGATAAACATTCCCAAATTGGAATAACCCCCCACCCACGCCTTGCCTCTCCCTACAGGCACCTGTGGTCATATGTTAGTCATACAGTCTAGGAACAGATCCATATCCGAACTATATCCAACATAGGACTATGCCCTGACTATATCAAACTCCTGGCTCCTCTGTGCCCTGTCAATCTTTATTTCATACTGAAAGGCCACAGGCCTGTAGTACATGTCTCCCTACCTTCTTCTGCAGCAGCACCTCTCTTTCCCGGTCTCTCTTTTTCCACTCCTCTGCCAGAGCACGCATGTAGGCAGCTTCTTTCTGCTTCAGCTGGGAACACACAATTCCCAAGGTTAGCTTAGTATTTGCTGGAATCTAGTTCACTGTAACACGACTGTCAACATTACAAACTGTATCATAAGCGGCATAAGCTGTCAGCATGGAAATTCTGATATAAGGCATCGACTTTGATTGGAAGGATCAGTTTGATATAAATTCAAATGAACACATGCTAAAAGCATTAATCACATCAGTATAAATGGACTGTTACCTGATTCTCAAATGCCTGTTCCTGACCTTCCTTCCACATCTCCAGCTCTAGGGCTGCCTTATACTCAGCTGACTGTCTGGGGCTCGTCTCCATGCCGCTGCCTGCCTCCACTCCACTGGCTGCATAGCCTGACGATAGGCCCTGGACACATACACAAAGAAATAGGAGAACTTGTCTGAAACCTGTGTCTGTACCTTTCTGTCTTGTATGGTCAAATAGTGAAAGACAGGATTGGATTAGAATTCTGAAAGCATTTTGACAATGTCTGAAATTGTAGTTTGATTAAACTGAAACAGTTGCCTTACTTGACTCTCTGACGATGGTATCACAGGTTGTGTGGGCAGAGGCCCCCAGTCCTCCAAGCTCAGAACTGAGCTGATCTCAAACATACAGGCTGACTTCCTGCAGGAGACAACATCATCCATCACATTACAAAATCACATTGCAAAGAGGAAGACATCTGGAATCATGCAGCTCTTCTCAATACCTGATGGGTCACATTACGTTATCTGCTCAAGGAGTTGGAAGGTTTGTGACAGAGCCCAGATTGCACCTGTTTATACTTTTAATGATCTCCAGCTTCAGAAACCTTATACTTTCCTCCATGAATACAAACATCCATACTCCAACAGTTCTGTACTGGTCAATATAACTGACCATAAAAAGAGTTTAAAACAATGTGCTAAAATGGAAGCAGCCCCTTTATCAGCTTTTCCAATCAGTATTTTTCTACTTTTGGGATTTTCAATTTTCAAAAAAACATAGGTCTATACAACAACCTTAAATTGATCAGAAAAAAGCACCTTGACCCTAAACTTCAGTGAGGGCTCAGTCTTTCAGAACTGCTGAACAACCTATTTCAGTCTGCTGCCACACCCAAAAGATGGCACTACCAAATGTCCTTGACCTACGAGCTCTTCAAGTAAGAAAATAGCTAAGACAATTCAGGCTGACCACGAACCATGAAAATAAAATCAACATCTCAAAGACATTGATATTATATTAAATTGCTCCTGTGAAGTGTCTTGCGACGGGGTTCGGTTCGGTTCAGAGAGCGAGGTCGATGCCCCGAAAAAGAGGACAGTTCATCGACGAAGTAGGGTTGTTCACCGTACTGACGTGAATCAACGAATCGGCAGAGAGGTTAAGCTGGGTCCAAAGATGATTTCTTCTGATTCGCTGAATGTTCCCCAACCACAACTCATGAAGCGACATTGTGGCAAAGGTGAGTCAGATGGATGGAACAGACAGCGTAGATTCTCAGAAAGGTAAGAAACAGACGACGAAACATCCAAAAAAAATTGATAGTAGGGGATGTAGGGGTGAATACACGATGAGTGACTTAACCAGGCATTGTTTCAGAGATTTCTTAGCGGGAGAGGGATCATGTTCATCAGATTGCTTGCGTGAATCCCTCTCATCACAGCTACTTGTGCCAACCTGACGATAGACTGCAAAGGCGTTGGCATCCTAAGATAACACAGGTTATATCTGTCTACCCATGAACTAAGTCAAATGCAGTCTATGCAAGACGTGTGCAGGTCAGACATAGATAATATATCCTTACATTGATTGCAAAATTTCTTCCGAAGATGAGGAATCCGTTTCCCATAGTGGCAAAGATAAGCCAGCTGTGCAACAAGAAGAGGACAACAAGAGAGGGGTCACTGCATCCCAGGAGCTACCCCAGCTGTCCAATTAAGGGAGCAGCATGGAGTGCACTGGCCAGTGGACAAGAGAGGCCTAGGATTTAGTTTGCAGTTTCTTTCCACTCAGCTAGTCAAACTGAAGAGAAAGAGAGTACAAAACATGAGATAGGATAAGTTTTAAAATTTAGCTAAACCTAAACAGAAGATTCTTGATATAAGCCTGAGAAGTTCAAAAGCATTGTGAGGCATCAACAGTTGAACAGTGGAAGTAGGCAGTTCTAGTGATCATTCCCTATTCTGCAGGCACCTACCCATCCACACTGGATGCTGCTATCCTGTCGCTATACTCCTGTCTCCAGCCACTGCCCCCTGTATTGTTCTGAAATATTAAGACAGTGAGGGTGAGGTAGAGAAATACCACTGACAGCTGTAATATACCAATATTATTTCATGCTCCTAATAATATTAGTGAAATATACTGAGCTGTCATGAATCTGACCTCCACTCAGTGTGTGAAGTGTTTCAAATGAAGGGTCTGTGAGGGAGATGATTCTTGACACTTGTTGCTGTAGTGTCTGAATCAAGGAATCCCTAATTCATTACTGGTTAGAGCGCCCGCCGATGGACGAAGGTCTCTGGTTCGATGACATTAAAAGACGCAACAAGGACTGGTCACGGTTCGAGTCAGTATAATGTGTCTGGAGTGGGATTATTCATGCTTCACTGCGGCATGGTACCTCAGTGGGCTAGCACTATAAAACCAGCTTAGAGTCTGGCGCTAGTACAAGCAGCCGCATTACGCACATACCGCATGCCGATGATGGTCATATGAGCGAAATATTCTCAAGCACGACGTTAAACTCAATTTCACCTCACCTCACCTAATTCATTACTTTTAAACATAGCATTAAAATAAGGGCTCCTTCACTTTCATGCTTAACCTGAACATTTACACCACAAACAAGCACGTACCATCACTTTTGATTTGTCCACTGTAATGATCTGTCCAAGAGGCAGTCTGGCCCCACCTAAGAGAATATCTTTTGACAACTGTCGATCTCGATGCCAAATCTCTACTATAAGGGGAACTCTGAAACACGGAAATGTAAACAGAAATTGACAACAATGAGTTTAATGTAACAAGTTTATTGCATGAATATCCAATCATATTGACAAGTGGTTTGCAAAAGGTAGTTGAACATTTTGGCGATGTACTACTTGAGAGAAGGGAAATAAGAATATACTAATAAACAATACACAGGACTCACTCGAGAAACAAGGAAACAACTCACTGAAGGAACAATATTACAAGGGTTTCACAAGGAACAATAATACTAGATTCTCTGGAGGAACAGTGTTACCGTTCTCTCTTGAGTAAAAATACTACAGTTGTCTCTGGATGAATAATACCACAGTTCTCTCTGGAGGAACACTACTACAGTTCTCTCTGGAGGAACTATACTACAGTCCTCTGTGGATGATCAATACTATAGTTCTCTCTAGAGTAACGGTACCACAGTTCTCTCTGGAAAACAATACTACAGTTCTCTCTGGATAAACAATACTACAGTTCTCTCTGGATAAACAATACTACAGTTCTCTCTGGAGGAACACTACTACAGTTCTCTCTAGAGTAACACTACTACAGTTGTCTCTGGTGGAACAGTGTTACAGTTCTCTCTGGAGAACAATACTACAGTTCTCTCTGGAGGAAGACTACTACAATTCTCTCTGGAGGAACAATACTACAGTTCTCTCTGGAGGAAGACTACTACAGTTTTCTCTGGATCAACAATACTACAGTTCTCTCTGGATGAACACTACTACAGTCCTCTGTGGATGATCAATACTATAGTTCTCTCTAGAGTAACAGTACCACAGTTCTCTCTGGAAAACAATACTACATTCTCTCTGGATAAACAATACTACAGTTCTCTCTGGATAAACAATACTACAGTTCTCTCTGGAGGAACACTACTACAGTTAACTTTGGAGGAAGACTACTACAATTCTCTCTGGAGGAACAATACTACAGTTCTCTCTGGAGGAAGACTACTACAGTTTTCTCTGGATGAACAATACTACAGTTCTCTCTGGATGAACACTACTACAGTTCTCTCTGGAGGAACACCACTACAGTTCTCTCTGGAGAAACACTAGTACAGTTCTGGAGGAACACTAGTACAGTTCTCTCTGGAGGAACAATACTACAGTTCTCTCTGGAGGAACAGTGTTACAGCCCTCTCTGGAGGAACACTACTACAGTTCTCTCTGGAGGAACACTACTACAGTTCTCTCTGGAGGAACACTACTACAGTTCTGTATGGGAGGGAGAGGAACACTACTACAGTTCTCTGGAGGAACAGAACAGTTCTCTGGAGGAACACTACTACAGTTCTCTGGAGGAACACTGCTACATGAGGAACACTACTACAGTTCTCTCTGGAGGAACACTACTACAGTTCTCTCTGGAGGAACACTACTACAGTTCTCTCTGGAGGAACACTACTACAGTTCTCTGGAGGAACACTACTACAGTTCTCTCTGGAGGAACACTACTACAGTTCTCTCTGGAGGAACACTACTACAGTTCTCTCTGGAGGAACACTACTACAGTTCTCTGAGGAACACTACTACAGTTCTCTCTGGAGGAACACTACTACAGTTCTCTCTGGAGGAACACTACTACAGTTATCTCTGGATGAACACTACTACAGTTCTCTCTGGAGGAACACTACTACAGTTCTCTCTGGAGGAACACTACTACAGTTCTCTCTGGAGGAACACTACTACAGTTCTCTCTGAGATGATCAATACTACAGTTCTCTCTGGAGGAACACTACTACAGTTCTCTGGAGGAACACTACTACACTGGATGATCACTACTACAGTTCTCTGGAGGAACACTACTACAGTTCTCTCTGGAGGAACACTACTACAGTTCTCTCTGGGAACACTCTACTACAGTTCTCTGAGGAACACTACTACAGTTTCTCTGGAGGAACACTACTACAGTTCTCTCTGGAGGAACACTACTACAGTTCTCTCTGGAGGAACACTACTACAGTTCTCTGGAGGAACACTACTACAGTTCTCTGAGGAACACACTACAGTTCTCTGAGGAACACTACTACAGTTCTCTCTGAGGAACACTACTACTCACTGGAGGAACACTACTACAGTTCTCTCTGAGGAACAATACTACAGTTCTCTCTGGAGGAAGACTACTACAGTTTCTCTCTGATCAACAATACTACAGTTCTCTCTGGATGAACACTACTACAGTCCTCTGTGGATGATCAATACTATAGTTCTCTCTAGAGTAACAGTACAGTTCTCTCTGGAAAACAATACTACATTCTCTCTGGATAAACAATACTACAGTTCCTCTGGATAAACAATACTACAGTCTCTCTCTGAGGAACACTACTACAGTTAACTTTGGAGGAAGTTCTCTGGAGGAACAATACTACAGTCTCTCTGGAGGAAGACTTCACAGTTTTCTCTGGATGAACAATACTACAGTTCTCTCTGGATGAACACTACTACAGTTCTCTCTGGACGAACACCACTACAGTTCTCTCTGGAGAAACACTACTACAGTTCTGGAGGAACACTAGTACAGTTCTCTCTGGAGGAACAATACTACAGTTCTCTCTGGAGGAACAGTGTTACAGCTCTCTCTGGAGGAACACTACTACAGTTCTCTCTGGAGGAACACTACTACAGTTTTATCTGGAGGAACACTGCTACAGTTCTCTCTGGAGGAACACTGCTGCAGTTCTCTCTGGAGGAACACTACTACAGTTCTCTCTGGAGGAACACTGCTGCAGTTCTCTCTGGAGGAACACTACTACAGTTTTATCTGGAGGAACACTACTACAGTTCTCTCTGGAGGAACACTGCTGCAGTTCTCTCTGGAGGAACACTACTACAGTTCTGGAGGAACACTACTACAGTTCTCTGGAGGAACACTACTACAGTTCTCTCTGGAGGAACACTCACTACAGTTTTCACTGGAGGAACACTCACTACAGTTCTTCTGGAGGAACACTACTACAGTCTCTGGAGGAACACTACTACAGTTTTCTCTGGAGGAACACTATCACAGTTCTCTCTGGAGGAACACCACTATAGTTCTCTCTGGATGAACACTACTACAGTTTTCACTGGAGGAACACTACTACAGTTCTCTCTGGAGGAACACTACTACAGTTCTCTCTGGAGGAACACTACTACAGTTCTCTCTGGAGGAACAATACTACAGTTCTCTCTGGAGGAACACTACTGCAGTTCTCTCTGAAGGAACTAAACTACAGTTACCTCTTCAGGAACAAGACAATAGGACTCTCTGGGTGTAGGGCAACAGAGTCAACTTGAGGAACAAAACTACTGCATTTATTGAGATACAACACAACAAGACTCACCGGAGGAACATGTCCTGCAACTGCTGAAGAGGACAGGCAAAAGAGAAGGCACAGAATGATTGTGGAAGAAGAACTTCCATGCCTTTTCTGATCTCTACTGGAGGGTTTGTCAATACTGGAGATGCAACCCCAAAGAAGGGATAGGAATACCTGTAACAAAGGGATTAACTCATTATTTTCAGGAAAAACATGTTATCAATGATAATGGCATATCAGTGTTATTACTTATGTTAAAAACAAAGTAGACAATGTAACATTTCCATACAGTGCCGTTACTCACTTGAGGTAAACATTATTGGTGTGGGTGGAGATGTGGTCGCGGATGCTGCGGAGGTCAATGGAGAAGATGAAGTGGTGTGACTGTGCTGGAATGCTCACATGATGCTGGGTGGTGCTATCAGATATTGGGGTTGCTGGACAAAAGGAAAATTGCTCAACTTCAATGTGAGAACAAGGCATCGATCTTAAACTCCCTTCTGTGCCAGTCATATGTGCAAAACATTGTACTGTAAAACAAGTATTGTCACTAAGGTGACATAATCACCTGCCGCAAATTATCAAATCAAACTTATAAAGTAATGAAAGTTTAAGATGAAGTTAAATGTAAACCAAAACATGACCAGTCATCCTCTCTTGATATCTTGTTAGTTGTTCAAACACACATATATTTTCAAGACTGAATTTAACCTTGACATGAATGTCATAGTGTATGAAATATGCAAAAATGGTACTAAAGAAATTGCTCATTGAAAAACATTCAAGGGAAGTCTTGAAAGTCTATGAAGAAAATCCAGTGAACCGTTCTTGAAATATCTTGCTGACAATTCAGGTTAACATGCTGAAATCTTCAAAGTGTCGTCGTGACACTGAAAATTATGTGAAGGTCACCAAAATTGACTGGGCCCTGGGCCTTCCCTAGATGAAGCTTTGTGTCAAATATGAAGAAAATCCAGTGAATATGTTTTGCGATATCTTGCTGACTATCTTAACATGCAATTTAACATGCTGAAATCTTCAAAGTGTCTCTGTGACCTTGAAAATTAAGTGAAGGTCACCAAAATTGACTGGGCCCCGCGCCTTCTCTAGATAAAGCTTGGTGTCAAATACAGTGTAAACCTGATAAGTAAAATTTCAAGGGACTCGCCAAAATTGTTTACTTATCAGGTATTTTACTTATCCAAACTTATAAAAACCTGCAAATGACAACCAATATGCATGTATATGTATGCATATGTAACAATGAACAACTTATCAGGGCTGGCCTCCAGTTGTCAGTGTATTGTCAACTGCATAACGCCAGCGGGCTGTAAGTAGGATGTTTGTTTGACTGGAGACTGACACGACTGCCCCTCATGTCGGATTATGTGGTGATCGCTAATTTAGTTATCCAGTCTCTTTTGTTAAGTAATTTACTTCCAGGGACCATGAGAAGACGTTTAGTTAAGCGGTATTGTTTACTTATCCGAGTTTAGTTAACCAGACTCTAATAGTGATAATTAAAGAAGAAATTTGCCGGGACCAAAGAAAAGTGTTTACTTATCAGGTCTGTTTAGTTAAGCGGTCTTTACTTAGGCCGTTTCCACTGTATGAAGAAAATCTAGTGAACGGTTGTTGAGATAGCTTAACATGCAGGTTTACATGCTGTAATCTTCAAAGTGTCGCCATGACCTTGAAAATTATGTGAAAATCAACTGGGCCCTGCACCTTCCCTTGATAAAGCTTGGTAATGAATATGAAGAAAATCCAGAGAACGGTTCTTGAGATAGGTTAACCTGCAGGTAAAACGTTTAAGTCCCCTTGTGACCTTGAAATGAAGGTCAAGGTCACCAAACCTGACTTGGGCCTTTCTTATACTGTGATGTACCTAGGCACCAAATATGAAAAGAATCTAGTTAACAGTTCTTAAGATATTCCAATTCGTACAGATGGACAGACGGAGCCTAATACTATATCCCCTGTTTCGCGCTTAACACGCGGCAGGGGATAACAAGGTGAGCAGTTTCACTCAGGCATATTTCATAACAGGGATAGGTTGATGTCGACTTGTCGTAACACCCAATTCCAAAATGGTTATATAATGTATGATATCTTATGCTCTTACAAAGTTGAAACATTTTGAATGGTTTATGAGTTAATCTCCAGAAAATTAAACACACTTATCTGAACATAACTTGTTGCCTTGGATATGAAAGGTATGTACTCCCGAATTAAAGATTAGCAATTGACACATTTTAAAAACAAAACTTCACAAAGAAATGTTAAACAGTTAACAATTTTGCTCTTGAAATGATCCCTACTGTCATTTGAAGCCAAGTAACACTTAATGCCTTGGAAACAAACCCAAAGGAAAATAGATCAGCTACATTTATGAAACAAAAGCCCCAGGTCAATGCAATTAATGAATTCTGAACATAAGTCCAATCTGAACATAAGTCCAACTTGCTAATTTGGGAAAATAATCAGACTTCCCAAAAACAAAAGGCATCAGTTCTGTGCCCAATATGTGTTTAAACCCTCACAAAGAAATACCATACAGTTTCTGAATGGGGCTCCAGAAACTGAAAAGTCAACTGATCTGTTACTTAATAAAACAAGAAGACAAAGTCATCAATATCCCCCGCAATGGCAAAATACTCTTCATGATTATGTCTACGAGTTATGATTATGTCAAATATTTAGGTGTGTATATAGAAAAGTGGAAGAAGAGTATTGAAAGGTTTTGAAAGTTCTGCTCCAGAAAGGAGCACTATCACCAATTTCAGTCTAAGTCGAACTTGTTGCTATGGAAACGCCCAAAATATTTTATTCAGAATTCCAAAACTACCAAAAGGCACCAGTACACCACCAGATCTATCTATGTGCCAAGTTTGGTGAAGAAATAGTGAACGGTTTTAGTGTTCTGCTCCGGAAAAGAGCACAACCACCAATTTCAGTCTAAGTCAATCTTGTAGCCATGGAACGCCAAAAATATTTTATGCAGAATTCCAAAACTACCAAAAGGCACCAGTACACCACCCGATCTATCTATGTGCCAAGTTTGGTGAAGAAATAGTGAATGGTTTTAGAGCTCTGCTCCGGAAAAGAGCACAACCACCAATTTCAGTCTAAGTCAAACTTGTTGCCATGGAAACACCAAAAATATTTTATTCATAATTCCAAAACTACCAAAAGGCACCAGTACACCAACCGATCTATCTATGTGCCAAGTTTGGTGAAGAAAAGTGAAAGGTTTTAGAGTTCTGTCTGAAAAGACAATGTACTACCATTAATTCCAGTCCAAGCCTAACTTATACATGGAAACGCCCAAAAAATATTTGATCCAAACTACCAAAAGGCACCAGTACACCAACCGATCTATCTATGTGCCAAGTTTGGTGATGAAATAGTGAACGGTTTTAGAGTTCTGCTTCGGAAAAGAGCACTACCACCAATTTCATTCAAAGTCGAACTTGTTGCAATGGAAACGCCAAAAATATTTAATTCAGAATTCCAAAATTACCAAAAGGCACCAGTACACCACCAGATCCATGTATGTGCCAAGTTTGGTGAAGAAATATTGAACGGTTTTAGAGTTCTGCTCCGGAAAAGACAAATGTGCACGGACGGACGGACGCACACACGGACGGAGTCCATTTTAATACCCCCCGCAAAACGCGTTGCGGGGGATAACAACATCACTGAAGACTTATCTCCCAAAGTGAGTGAGTTTGGCTATTGCCCCTTAGTGCATTACCATGTGACCTCATTTGACCTCAAGCCCTGAAGCTGGACAGCAAGGTCACAGGTTAAACCCCTTTGTAGTTTGACTCATGTGGCTGAACCAGGATTGAGTTCAGAGCTCAATTAGGCACTGGAATAACGTAACCATTCCACTACACATCATGAAAACAGAATGGATATCAGCAGTTTTGAACCATTAAAAGCCTATCAGAAAGATCGACAATGCTTTGGCCATTTTTAATGAAAATCTGACTTGGTCACCCAGATGTGTCTGTCACTGGTGCCATTAGCTAATCAATCGCATCAATGACAGAAATATGAACATAGCTCTAAACAAGAGAAAGAAATCAACTTCATATTGAGGCCACCATCTTCATCAGTAACAAAAATGTTCATGAAGTATCACAGAGTTTTCATCATTATCAAAATGTTCATGACAGATCATCAAAGAAGTGTGACCCATCATGATCTGGGGGTTGAACATAGGATTCAGTCATACATAATGGACACATCCATACACTGCAGTGCCATTGCAACCACTGGCCTCTGTCTCAAAGATACTAGTGTTTGGCTTACCTGCGCTGTGTAGAACTGTTGTTGTTGGATACTGGTTCTGTTCTGGCTGCACACTGTCAACAGGGGGAGCCACTTCACCATTCGACTGTTTAACTGAAACGAGAAACACGTATCACCTGATTTTGCAATCAAAAGCTTTCCCTGGCCAGCTACAGTTTGTAATTTATTGATATGTTTAACCAATATTTGTATGCAATGAACATACTCATGCCTTCTACTGCAACATCAAATAGTTGCTAACTGGAAAATCTTGAAAAATTATTTCCATAACAAAAATTGAAGACCTATCAAAACAATTACTTTAGTGAAAATCACATACAAAAAGTCAGTATTAGTTACCATGATGTTGCTTGTCTTCACCAAGGTCACTGACATTGTCAGGTGTATTTTCATCCTCAAATGTTTCAGTGTAATCATCCTCATCCTTTTCCTTCTCTTTGGCCTTGACCTTCACCTCCTCTGGTCTTGGCTTTGCCTGAGTCACCTTGGGCCTTACCTGCTGTGCAACCTCAGCATGTGAGGGGCTATGATGGTCAGGGTGCCCCTTTAATATTGGGGATGCACCCACACCAACCGATGTGTCTTTTACAGGAGTCATTGTAGCCTGAAGTACAAACACATTTCATAATCATGATTCTTTTTCAGAAGAAGTCCTCCTTGGGGTACATATAAGCATTAAAATGTCCATTTTAAAAGCATACGACAGTTGTAACAATATTTCAATAAAATATTTTACCAAACAAAAAACTCGTTATGTGTGGTGAGACCACCCTTACAGGGCCCCGTAGAGGGCCCCCTACAGCCAAGAGCAGGTAACTCTGGCTGTGTACCTCGTGACTCACTTTTCATGCTGTCGCCGGGCCGTAGGTCGCATTGCATGGTCCAAGAAGCTACTTAATAAGAGAGCGCATGAGTGAGATAGAGTCAAATCCTGTATGTATGGTTCCTTTTTTCGCCGGGCTTAGCTGGAATCTTTGTATGACTTTTTTCATTCATCATTTGTTGTAACTTTATCCGGCGCTGCTTCGCTGTCTCCAGCCACGTGGCAGGCAAGATGGCGGATCGGCGGGGTCCCGCTTTTGCTTTCCTTCTCCTGGCTTTAGAAAAGCCTTGTAGTCAGGTCTTGAAGGGGCTGATATTTCATTTTGTAGATTATGCTTGCCTAAATTCCTCTCTTTTCCAGGCTTTAGGTAAGTTTTGCTTGAGTGTTTTCGTGGACGCTGCCACGGTCGCTTCACACATGTTGCTCTTTGTCACCTATGTACGCTAATTACGCTTCGCTATTATGGCTTGGTGCTAGTATTTAATAGCTTTGCTGTAACAGTTAAAATATCGCCTCGCGCTGTATTTTGTTCTGTTTTGTTGTGTGCATATTATATTATATATATCAGACAGTCCTTGCTATTGTCATAGCTGCGGTTCTGTTTTTTGCAGCCCAAGGGGGTGTGTCACCTGTAGCGCAGTTTGTCGCCTCAGGATCGCCACCTGGTTTGCTTACGTTGTTTAGCCGGAGGAAGCCCATGACGAACAAGGTTGTTCTATGTGTCAGGCTTTCTCCCCGCACCATCAAGTCCAGACGCGTTGATTACATGTTCTACAAGTCCTTACTTCAGGCGGGGGACATTTGGGGTCAGGAGCCTCCTAAAGACAAAGATAAAAAGCAAAGAAAAGAAGGCTTCGCTTCCTCTCTTTGGGGATGCTGCTCTAAACGAGGCGAAGGGTGCGGGCCTCCGCTCCTTCACCTGCCATCCCTCAACATCACAGGCACCTTCCCCTCCTGTCCCTGTTTCTAACCAGCTAACAATTGATTTACTTTCTGATATATTGCAGAAGCAGATGGATTCGGTCCACACTCTAGTGGCCGACGCCGATGGCTGGCCTCCGCCCGGGAGATTGGCGCCAGGCCAGGTACGGGTGTGTGTTCCGGTCTATGGCGGGCAGTGCTCCCAACCTTAGCTTAGGCTCTGGTGTGGGGTTTCTGTCGGGTGCGCCGGCCCGAAGTCTCGCCTCGTTGCTGGCCACCCTCCGCTGTAGTAACTACTACCGCCCGAGCCTTGGCTCTGGGTCTGGTCCAGTAGTTAGTGCCGGGTTGGCAGGCTCAGCCCCTGTAGTTGCCGCTATCAAGATTTGGTCCCACCGCTGCGCCGCTTGGCCGGGCCATTCGTGTCGGATCATTTTGTCTACCATTGAGGAATCCCAGCATCGGCTCTTCCTCGCCACGCCACCGCGACTCAGTGTCGAAGTCTTGGGTCAGGTGTGTGCCGGGCAACCCGGCTCTGCTCGAGCCTTTGTCACTTCTGTAGACCCCTCGATGATCCCTCAGAGCTCTCTGGTTACAGAGACCTCACTCATTGAGGATCGATTCGAGGAGGCTATGGAGGAGGATGAGGGTCGGGAGGAGTTGGGCACGCCTTTGGTTTCGGCCGGTGCGCCCCTGAGGCAGGTACGGAGCCGCATTGCCTCTGTCCTGCCCCAGGTAGTGGTCAGTACTGGCACCCGACCTCAGGGAGTTTCGGGCTCCCAGGGAGGCTTTTGCTCCCACCAAGGTGGGGACACAAGGCTGCGCGATATTACCCTCAGTCTTGTTCGAGGTAATCAACCCTCCTCTGTGGTACCAGGTCCAGGTTCGATTTGCCAGAACTTGACCGCCGGTACCTCATGGGGAGGCTTGCCTTTACAATCCCCCAGTGGTTGACGATTGTGTTTACGCATCCGTCGCCCTGGGGGGTTCGTCAGGTAATTCTATGGCTTCAGCCAAGCAAGGTCGCCGGCTTCCGCCGTTCACGACTAACGCTACAGCGCTTAAATCCGCTTATCGATCCTTTGAAGAGCAATACCGCAATGCGGTTCAATGCCTCAAAGTGACGATCCATTCCGCTTACATCTCGGGTGTTGCAGAGGCAACTACTGGATGTGGGTGGGGTGGAGGAAGATTCGCCTCCACCTTGGCTAAGCAATTAACGGAGGTACAGTCACATCTGCGCCAGCGATTCTATCAGGTCGCCGGCTTGCCAAATGATGTCGGCGTGATGGGCCCTCCGCCGCCTGTGGCTTTCTCCGTATGCAGGTATTCGCCTGCCACGCAACAGGCTCTGCTGGCGCTGCCATTCGGATGGGTTCTACCCTGTTCCCCGGGCAGCTACAGTAGTCGGGGAGGCCGCTGGAGGCTGTCTCAACCTTCAAGGACTCTAAGCCCTTGCTGGAACAGCCTCACATGTCTCGCCATGCCCCCGGTTGTTCTCCGCGATATCCTTCTGCCGCCGGGCGAAGGAATCTGTTAAATGGGCTCAGCCCTTGCAGTCGCTGAGGGTAAGGGCAGAGGCAGGGCAAGGGGCAGGCCACGGCGCCCCACCAGCCTTTTCAGAGGAAGGGGAAGTCAGCCCCGCTTCCCAGCTATAATTCCTCCGAGCCCCTTGTTGGTACCCAGACCAAGCAGTCGGAGTACTGCCGGGTCAGGTATTCAATGTCTCATGCCACATATCCCTGTGGGTGGTCGACTTTCCTCTTCCTGTCGGAATGGGAAAAGTCACGCCCAATCCCTGGGTCCTGTCCACACTCAGGGAAGGCCACATGCCACAGTGGAAGCTGGAGACCCACCCCTTCTCCGGGATCCGTTGCACTCCAGTGCCGGGCTGCCCTAGAGAAGGCGGTAGTGCTCGCGCCGAGGTCCAGTCGCTGCTGGACAAGGCAGCCATAGAGGTGGTTCCTGTGGGACAAGAAATGTTGGGTTTTACTCAACTTATTTCCTTGTCACCAAAAGGACGGAGGGTTCAGACCTATTCTAAACCTCAAAGGTCTGAACGACATGTTAGAGGTACCGCCCTTCAAGATGGAAACACTGCGCTCGGGTGATTTCGCCTGTGGAGAAGGGAGATTGGCTCACGCCAATCGACCTAAAAGACGCCAGACTTCCATGTCCCTATGCACCCCAAGTTCAGGAAATACCTAAGGTTTTCCTTCGACGGGAGGTGCTATCAGTTTCGGTACTCCCTTCGCATCTCCACAGCCGGGTGTTCACCAAACTCATGCTAATTCCAGCTCAGGTAGCCAGGTCACAGGGCAGGTGCTGTCACCCGCATCTAGACGATTGGCTCCTTCGCAAGCTTGCCACTCACTTGAGTCGAAGGCGACACTTTCTGTGATGAGTATTCTCACCAAGTTGGGCTGGATTATCAACCTCAAGAAATCAGAACTGGTTCCCACCCAGGATCTGGTGTTCTTGGGAGCAGATTCGAGACAGCGTGAGGGATAGTCTCCCTGTCTCCGGACCGCATCACCAAAGTCCAGAGAGTTGTGTTACAATTTCTCGAAGTTCCCCAGGGCCTCAGCTCGACTTGGCTCCAGTTGCTAGGGCAACATGGCGCAACGGTGGACATCGCTTTGGCGAAGCGGGTTGAGGATGCACCCATTCAGCAGGCTCTAGCTCAATGTGGGTCCACACCCAGGGTTACGAAGTTGATTCTCCACACCCAGGGTGGCTAATTCCTCATTTACGGTGGTGGACACTGGCAGGAATTTATCCAGGGGCTCCCTTTGGACATCCCATCGCCAGATCTCTCAATTCAGACGGACGCTTCCCTCACAGGGTGGGGCGCTGGCTGCGCTCTGTCGGCCCCAGGCCTGTGGTCACAGAGAGAGGCGAACTGCACATCAATGTGCTAGAATTGAGAGCAGTCAGGTTGGTGTTCAAACGACTTCGAGCAGGTTCAAGGTCGCGGTGGTCCGCCTCGAGATGGACAACCAGACGGCAATGACCTACATCCTGAAGCAGGGCGGTACGGTTTCCGCCTCTTCTGCAGGAGGCATGGCAGTTTCTGCTCTGGTGCCACCAGTTCGACATACCGGTAATGCCTGTTTATCTCCCCGGGCGGACAACGCTCGAGCAGATGCACTCTCTCGTCAGATCCTGGCCCCACACGAAAGTGGATGCTCCATCGGGGATATTCGGGCTATCTCCCAGTTGTTCGGTCGCTCCAGGTGGATCTGTTTGCATCTGGGGACGAACCAGATTCCGTGTTTTGCTCTCGATACCGGATCCGGTGAGCCATCGCCCCAAGACGCTTCCAGCTCGATTGACGGACAGGGTTCTGTATGCTCCCCGCCACTACCCCTGATTCCCAAAGTCCTCTTGCAGCTTGCCACCCAACCAGCTCGACTTCTTGTGCTCCTTGCACCCCTTTGGTCGGCTCAAAGCTGGTTTCCGTACTACTCAGGTTTCTGGCTCAGCCTCCTGTACTATTACCCTTCGACCGACTTACTATCCCAGAACGGAGCGCCGCACCAATCCCAGGATTCAGTGGGTGGCCTGGCCTCTGTCCGAATCGCTTCCACGCTGAAAGCGAATTCCTGCACCAGTTGCAGACACAATTCTGGCTTCGCTGGAGGGATTCGGACAAACGCTCAGTATGAGGATAGATGGGCCTGTTATGCGCGCTGGTGTGTCGGCAGAGGGATTCTTGATCCCTTTTCTTCAACTGTAATTGAAGTACTGGAGTTCTTGCAGTCTCGTTAGAAGCCGGTTTAGCCGCGCCTACTATCCGGGCTACTCCACGCAATCTCTGCCTTCCATATCCCTGCCGACGGTGCTCTCTTTGGGGCAGCACCTCTAGTACAGCTTTTAGCAGGCGCGGACAGAATCCGTCCGACTGTCCGGGCGGATTAGTCCCCGCGGGACTTGTCAATCGCTCTTGATTGATGTCCGGTCCTCCTCTTTCACGATCTGTCGCCTCTTTCACTCCAGCTGTTAAGTTGGAAGGCTGCCTTTCTTGTGGCGTAACGCCTGGCAGGCGAAGTAGGTGATATCCATGCGATGTCAGCGATCCTGCTCTGACTGTCTTTCACAAAGACAGAGTCAGTATTCGCTGCCAGACTCCTACCGTCCCTAAGGTCGCAGGGCTTTCATATAACGGCGCTTCTATCGAACTGCCAGCTTTCACTCAGCCTCCATCGTCCCGTACCTCTCTTCGGGCGCGTGCTCACGCCTTTAGATGTCCGTGAAGACTCTCAAGGCTTATATCAAACTTAACGGCTGCTATCAGGAAAGATAAGCAGCTGTTCTGTTGTTATGGCGGTGGCAAGGCTGGTCTTCCGCCAACAAGCAGACCATTTCTAGGTGGCTTGTCTCTGCCATTTGTTCGAAAGTTACTCTTACAAAGGATTAACCATCCCTCAGGGTTTAAAGGCTCATTCGGTTAGGGCAGTGGCTTACATCAAAGCATACCGCTGCACTGCCCATTGAGGAGATCTGCTCAGCGCTATCTGGAGCCGTAATCGAGCACGCTCATCCGCCACTATCAGCTGGACAAACATTCACGGAGCCGCGCTCGGTTTGGCCAGACAGTTCTCACCAGTGGACAGTGTCGCGGATTCTCTAACCGAATGAGCCTTAGAAATCACGCTTTGCTTTTCTCATGGTGTAGGTGTTAATAAATTCCTCACTTTTTTTATCGGTGGTGGTATCACTTTGGTGGTGGTTTTTACCGCATGTAGCGATTATCACTTGCTACAGTCACTGTGTTCATCCCTGCACCACGCCGCTGGTTTGGGTTGCTGAGGGATATATATTGACTCGGCCATACTTTCCTCCCATTTTGATGGTTGGGGTGGACTTAAGGCCAGTCTTTCTAAATTCCACCAATAGCCTATCGGCTAGGCTCCTTTTCCTCCGCTTTGCGTTCGCCTGATTGACATCAGCGTCAGGTGACTAGGTGAGTGTATTTTCTCTCTCTGTCGCTTCGCTGTGCCTTCTCGACTGAACTAGGGGTATGTTAGGCAGACAGAATACCGCCCCGACTCAACATCGCTGGGGAGTCTGTCTTATGCTTATATGTACCCCAAGGAGGACTTCTTCTGAAAAGAATTTTACAAACCTGGAGAGGTTATGAATTCTTTGAAGAAAAGTCCTCCTTGGGTACGGCCACCACCTCCCCTCATTCTGTCTGACACGCTCAGCATGAAAAGTGAGGTGACGAGGTACACAGCCAGAGTTACCTGCTCTTGGCTGTAGGGCCCTCTCAGGGGCCCTGTAAGGGTGGTCTCACCACACATAACGAAGTTTTTGTTTGGTAAAAATATTTTATTGAAATATTGTTACAACTGTCGAGGCTTTTAAAATGGACATTTTAATGCTTATATGTACCCCAAGGAGGACTTTTCTTCAAAGAATTCATAACCTCTCCAGGTTTGTAAAAGTTTAGGGTGGTTGGTTGTTGTTTGTTTGTTTAAAAACTGGAGCAAGGCACAGTAAATACAGTGCATACGTCCAGGATTTTGTGTCAGCGTACTGTACACCACCAGACACATGTAAAGTACTGTACTCCACACATGAAACTTCTAAATATACTCTCTTTCCTATCTTACCATATCCTCCTTCCTGAGAACAACTGATACACCCACATTTGGGGTGAGATCAGAAGCCATTGGGGGCAGCTGCTGTTTGGTTTTGTTCGGGGGGATCAGCTGGAAGAAGAAACATCTGGCGTGAGTAATCTAGGGATTACTTCATGTAAGTTCAGATTGGAATCCATGTTGATTTTATGATGATAACTGCTCATTTTAAAAAAAACCCACTGATTTTCATACAAAACCATGTCTGTACAAGTATGGCCCTGGAATGTTTAATGTTGAATTTATTGGTGAATGTCATTTTGCGTGTCTTACACGATTCAAGGTCAATACCAAGTGTAACCTCCATGTGACTGTGTGACAGCCAACACTCTCCTCCTCATACCCCCTGTCAGCCTCCTGATCCTCTGAGGGGGCGGTCTATGCCATTCCTCATATAAAGCAGCTTCCAATTGGGCCAAGTTCTGCACATGAGGATCCCTTTGTTGCACACAACAACCAATCATGTCCCAGATATGCTCCAAAGCGTTAAGATCGGGGCTCAATGAATCATGAGCTATGTCAGAGGGTGCTTAACTAAGTTCTTTGTGTATACATATCAAGGCTATCCACATATATAGCGAAGTGACTGAAGGTGTTTGTGTGTGTCCTTGTTATGTCACAGTAATATGAAGCCCTAGAGAGGGAACAAAAAGTACCATCTTTGAACATCTTGGGTACAACCAATACTAGGAAGAAACTATCCACCTCTCTTAGCAGCAATCATCTATCAACTATACTACAGGAGAGATCAAGTTACTTCTCCTAAGAGGCGACCAACATAATCAGAGTGAGTGAGTGAGTGAGTTTAATTTTACGCCGCACTCAGCAGTATTCCAGCTATATGGCGGCAGTCTGTAAATAATTGAGTCTGGACCAGACAATCCAGTGATCAAAAGCATGAGAATCAATCTGCGCAATTGGGAACCGATGACATGTGTCAACCAAGTCAGCGAGCCTGACCACCCAATCCGGTTAGTCGCCTCTTACGACAAGCATAGTCGCCTTTTGTGGAAAGCATGGGTTGCTGAAGACCTATTCTACCCCGGATCTTCATGGGTCCAACATGATCAGCTGGTCAGGCTGCCTAACTTTGATGATTCATGTCATCATGTCCCAAATGCACAGATCGATGTCCAAGATGTCAACCTGGAAATTTGCCGAGATTGTTGCTAAACAACAAACAAACAAAAGTAACTTGTGGCTGACCTGGAAGGCTCCGTCTATGGTGACTGGCTTCATGTAGATTTCTGTGCTGCCTTTCTTGATAAGGGAAGCTAATGGAACCTCACAGCTGCCTAGAGACTGATCTCCGCAACACAAATGTATCTGTAAATGACGGAACACTTTCTACAGGATAGTTACAGTACACTGAGTGAATACTGTTTTATGCCCCAACCAGCACACAGCACACAGCTTCATGATAATGGCCCCTGAATAACTGAATCTGAGCCAAACAAACATGTAATTTTTATGATAAAATTATTATTTTTATACTTATCCTGACTCATGATTATTGCTTATCTCCCTTCTCCTTCGACGGTTGAGTGGAAACCTTGAATCCTATTCGTATAGCGCTTGTACAATCACTCACCCAGAGTTACCTCCCTTGTTCCCCCCCAAAACCGGTCCCACGCGACCTGAGACCAGCTCTTATCACTCTCTCCGAAATATGCCCACATTGCGACTTACAGTGAAGACTAATGCTGAGAGTGGGGACGGCTGGGAGGGTTTACCTCATGAGTCAGGATAAGTATAAAAATAATAACTTTATCATAAAAATTATATATTTTTCCTTATCCTGACTCATGATTATTGCTTATAGAATCAGACGGAATAGGTGGTGGGTCAGCCACCTACAGGATTCACTGTGACTGTCTATCTACAGTCTGAACGCTTACCCCCTGGTAATTCCTGTTGCGACCTTTAGTTGTCTAGATGTTATATTGGGGGACCACCTTCTCTTAACTGATTAAGAGAAGTAAATCTTATAGATTTTGTGGATTTAGATAATCTAGTATTTTAGAAATCTTTAGAACGATCCATATGTTAAAGTAAGGACTATTACCAAAACTGGAATCGCAACCCATAAGTTAAGTAAGGACTATTACTTAACAAGGTTTATATCACTCATGCTCTGACTTATCAAGTAAGACAGGTGGACATGGACCCTCTGCTGGTGGCAATGGGACAGTTGCCAAGCGTCTACAAGTCAACGTGATTAGGGTGAGTTCCTCAATGTCTGGCTGGATTCGCGAGCTGTTGAGCCACTAGTAGTGGACAAAACTGGTGAATGCCTGATTTATTCTTTGTAGCAATATTTTGTAGATAGTGGTTGCAAACACTGTGTCAGATTTTAAAAGCAGCTTTCTATGATGGATGATAACGATCAATTCCCATGTAGTGCGAGTGTCGATGCTAATGCTCTTATTTCGTGTGGATTAAATGGATTAAATGCTGTAGGCAGAGTTAATCCTGCTGCTTTGTAGGCTCATAATATCACTGCTCTGATCCAGACCGATATTGTGGTTCGCAAACCTCAATAGTCATGACTGGTGATAATGGAATGATGAGACGTTTAAAATTTCTCTTTCTCGTAGCCGTCCGTTGTAAATAGATTCTTAGCACTCTTACTGAACACAGGGACAAGTCCTCTGTGTCTCGATGTCCGAGGACTGATGATAATGCTGGTACATGAAACTGACGATCTGGTTGATCCGGTAGTTGATTCTTAGCTATAAAGTCCCATCTTAGTCCTAGATGGACTGCAGCATGTACTCCTGTGTCGAATCTCGTTCATACTAAGTTGAGAGCATGAATCTCAGACATTCATGCTGCTGTAGCTAAGGTGAGGAGAAATATTGCTTTCTGAGTTAACAACTCAAGTTGTGTCTCTTAAAGTTTGTAGTCGTCTCTGGTGGGATGTTGCAGCACTATATTAAGATCCCCTGCTGGGGTTCTAATTTACTGCTTTTGATCATTCAGTTAACATGATCTCAGTAGAGCGATGAGTTAGGTACATTGGTGAGTTTAATTCCCATGTACATTGTGATAGTCGAGTTGATCGTCTCCCAATATATTGAAAGTGTAGATCCTTTCAGATGTCTAGTCTCTATCTGTTGCTCGGCGTGAGTAGCTGCACAGAAGTGTCTGCTAACACGAGGGTTCTTGAACCCTAGTAAAACAGTAGGCGCTGAATAGTGTTGACTGCTATTATAAATGCAGGCTTTGCGTAGATGTCTAGTAGCTTCTAGCTGACACAAGCATTCTGCTACTTGAGCATGTGTAGCTTATACGGCCGAAAATCCTTTGCTGATGGTGGGCCAGTCTTGTACGTAAACTCAGCTTTGATTCTCCAATGAGAAGTATGAGGTGTGGGAACTAAGTTCTCACTGGTCAGTAGGGCATGACCAAATCCGTCATAGGACTTTGGTCTAGGTGGTCTTTGTGTAATATCTATGGTAGTAATATCGGTGGTGAAAACAAAATGCGTAGCATTTAATTGATGTGCCTGAAGCGTTGAGAACCCAAACTAGTGGGTCTGATACTAGTGAGACAAACTTTACAGTTTGATGATTGAAGTGTGTCGCAACAAATCTACCAGTCTGACTTCGATGCGTATTCTATTTATAGCAGGACTGGTTCCCGTGTAGCATCGAAGCAGACAGGAGCACTGTCGTTTATATCGGTGAAAACTCCAAGATAAACATAGTTTACCTGCTGTCAAGGTTAGAAATCTATTAGATTTCCAAGATGATACCAGAACAGAGTAGTATACTGTTTCTCAGGCTGTAGATGAAGTATTCCCACATATAATGGGTTTGTTTACAACCCAGTGGGTTTGCTGTCACTTGATCTGCGTATCAGGCCTGCACAGGGCGTTGTCTTCCATCCTGGACCAATCAGCTTGTAGTATGTGACGTCACCGGTGTTGTAACAAGTTGGCCCTCATGAATTCTGATGCTGTAGTTGGTTGAGTAAAAGTACGCGTAATATTACTCTGTTTGCAAACACCTCCCAAATCCCTTGAATAAGGGTTGTTCCGAGTGTAGAATTCTTGTTGAGTGATGATAACACATTGCGATTGTGGTTACATATGAGCCACATGCATGGATGGAAGAATACTAGATTATTGCTCATTTTTCAGGTGATTCACAACTAGGGCTATAGTTATAACTGAATTGAACGCCGTGCTGTTCATAAGGGTTCGCATAAGTAACCCCTCCTTCTAGTAGTTGTTTGTAGATTAGCCAACTGTTTATCCTCCACTCTGTAACTGCAATACCGGTAGTTACAGTTGTTGAAGAGTTGGAATTTATTGTCTGCTCTGAAGAAATTTTTCATGTTCTGAAGACGTTGGTGTATGTCGACTTAGTGTCTAATAGTGTTTGTGAATGCTGACTTGACGGTCTCAGCTTATCAGTGGGATTATCCCAGATAAGACTTCCAAATCAATGTAGATACTTGAATTCTCTCATTCATGTATACTAGTATCCGAAGTCGGTGCTTCCTCATTGAGGGAGTCATTGATAGATTTCGTAGGAATCAAATAGTTTGTCAGCTGTTGTATCCCTGTTAAACGTTGATGTAGCATATCTAAACCCACTTGTGTGGCTTTCGCCACAAAATTGTGGTCCAATGGTAGGGTAATATTACCCCGAGAGTTTACTCAAGCGTGTAATAGAGCCGTAATACTTCGCTGATGATCAGTAGTAGTCTACGTACAAGAGTTCGTGCATGCTAAGTCTCTCTGTACAAGTAGAGACAAAGTAGCATAACTTTTGATTGTTGACTGAAGGGTTCGCAACTCCTGATGGCGTGGACGAGTCTGCTTTGAGATGGGTATTTCCTTCTCAACGTTGAAACTGTTATGATTGTTTCTGTGAAGTAGGGATCGTGAATCCTGTAGATATAATATTAGAACAAGTAGACTGCGGTGACGCTGGCTAATTATTAAGAGAAAGTTGACGTAAGAGTGTCTTAACGTGATACTCTGTCCTGTTGCAAAATACGAGAAGTCCTTGTCGACGAAGTAAAGTAACCCGCTTATGTCGATGCCAAATGATCAGACATATATTCCTGATCCTTCTCTGTTGCATACTCAGTGATGATAATATCATCCTGTCTGTTTCTGTTTTCGGGTTCTGGAAGTTGCTGATTAGAGTTTCATTTATCATACCTATGTGATCTGGATTCATTGATGAATAATAATCATCATCAATCTCTGGCGCTCTGAAGAATGGTTCCATGTTGTGTAATGGAAACTTTCTTGCATTAAATGTCTGTGCGTGCTGTCTTTGATGTCTAGTAGCATTATCAAATGCTGATTTGAGGGTTCGACGAAACCTGTGATACAGGTTATTAGGAGGTATAATGAGTGTCTCTAGATCCTCATCTATAATACGATAAGTTTCGGCTGAATTCTCGTGCGTAGGTGAAGCAATTGGTAACGTTGATTGAAATGCTGAAGGATGTAGCATGCGTAATCGTTTGTGATTCTCTGACGACAATAGTTGTTGCATAACCAAGACAACTTGGTGTGTAATGCTCTAGCTACAAAAATCTAGATCTACTTGTTGATTCGTCGAACCTGACGGGTTAGCGGAAGGTTGTGTTGTATTCCTCTGTCGATTATGACTAAATGTAGATCTATGTTGTTGTCGGTTCGTCGAACCTTCGTCCGTTTCTGTTTGTAAACCAACAGTTGATTGGTTCGTCGAGCCTATTGTTATAGTTGTAGACGTTGTATTAGTATGTTTAATCTGCGCTGAGATGAGTGTTTTTTCCCCGACGACTACGATTTGGATGGATGTGAAGCAATTGGTAACCCATCCGTTATCCAAGACAATACCTCCGCATCTGGATATATTGTAGATTCCTCCGTTTCTTGAACACTCGTTTCTGAAGTGTGTGTCTCTTCCTGAGTGTTATCATTCATTGATGTAACATGTGTAGTTGTCTGTTGATTATCTGATGATGATCGTTGTTGCATAGCCAAAACTACTTGGCGTGTAATACTGGTTACAAAATCTTGCATGTATTGATGGATCTGTTGAGTGTGACGGGTTCGCGAAAGGTTGATTTGTATCTCTCTGTTGTAGAGGGTTCGCGAACCCTCCGTCAGATGAAAAATCTCTTTCTGTCTGAAGCACAACAGTTGCTTGGTTTGACGAGCCTTCCGTCAACCTTATAGAGGTTGAATGATCAGTAGATGTTGTAGTATGAGACGATTGTGACGATCTATGCTGATTGTCTGTAGAAGGGTTCGTGAACCCTGATGCAGTGTTGGGAGGGTTCGCGAACCCTGATGAGGTGGTGGTCGATCTACG